ACCTCCGCCTCCACACCAGTACATCACTTCGCCCGGAGCCAACGCCAATTGGTGCACCAAAATCGACGACTCGCCGAATTGTCATCGCAGCCAGGCGCACCGCCCTCGACACCCTGCCTTCTCAATTCCGCCGGCACCTAACCCAGGGCAACAGAACTGCGCCATTTACACCCTGGAATAGAAACAACTCTCGATAATTTCTTCTTCCCGACTTTCTACGATTGAAACACCCACCCTCGGCGTTCCAGTGCATTACGCGACTCCATCCCTCTACCGAGTCTCCCGCAGCTGGCCGGACTTGTTGCGGGACAGCCCCCGAGGCTGACAATCCACAAATCGTCTTCATTCTCGAAACATCGACGATTATAATGCGACAGTAGAGTGCGGTTTATGGCTTACCAGACCCAAACCGCGATAATCGAAGTCGGAGCCCCTTGAATTTCCTGCCTAAGTCGTGAAGGCTCTGGACTGCCCACCATGGGCGCCTGTATGAGCTCAAGCAATGAGGAGGCGGACCAGAAGAAGAAGAGTCAGGCGATAGATAAGATGCTAGAAGAAGACTCGAAAAAGTTACGGAAAGAATGCAAGATCCTGCTCCTAGGTATGCTTGAAAATTCACACCTCGCTTGATGCGTTGGTGCAAGATAGCTAACAGCCAGCGAAACAGGCTCTGGTGAGAGTGGCAAGTCCACCATTGTCAAGCAGATGAAAATCATCCACCTCAAAGGCTACTCCGAAGACGAACTGTTCAACTACCGACCGACCGTCTTCAAGAATCTGGTGGAATGTGCCAAGGCTGTCATTACTGCGATGCAACAATTTAACATCGTCCCGGAGATTGCGGAAAACAAGGAGTTTGCCCAATTTATGTTGGACTACCAGCCCGAATCAGGCCCGCAAGCACATATTGATCCGCAGGTCGGCATTGCTGTTCAGTCTTTGTGGAATGATCCCTCAAAGGCCCAGTTGATGGAGCACCAGACCGAGTTCTACTTAATGGATTCGGCTGAGTAGTAAGAGCGTCCCTAACCACAGATTTCAAAATGTTCCACCAATGTGTGCTCAAGCTGACCTCGGTGCAGTTTCTTCCAAGAGGCTGTGCGCATCTGTGCGCCAGATTATTTACCGAGCGAGATGGATGTGCTGCGAGCTCGTACGAAAACCACCGGCATCTACGAGACTCGCTTCCAAATGGGCCAGCTTAGCATACAGTAAGTTCAACTGCGACACACGATCTGCGAGATAGGCTCGCTGACCTCCCTGGTAGCATGTTCGACGTCGGCGGCCAAAGAAGCGAAAGGAAGAAGTGGATTCACTGCTTTGAAAACGTCACCTCGATTATTTTCTGTGTTGCTCTCAGCGAATACGACCAAGTCCTTCTCGAGGAAAGCAGCCAGGTGAGTTATTCCATGTGCTGTAAAACAAACGCCGGTGCTAACAGCAACAGAACCGCATGATGGAGAGTCTGCTTTTATTCGATTCTGTCGTAAACTCGCGCTGGTTTATGAGGACTAGTATCATCCTCTTCCTGAACAAGGTCGACATTTTCAAGCAGAAACTTAGCAGGTCGCCGTTAGGGAACTACTTCCCCGACTACTCGGGCGGTAGTGACGTGAATAAGGCCGCCAAGTACTTGCTCTGGCGCTTCAATCAAGTGAACAGGGCGCACCTCAACCTATATCCTCAGTATGTATCTTGTTGTTGTACAGTATGAGAATGTCTGGGGATGCTAACGATAGTTTAGCTTAACGCAAGCGACCGACACATCGAACATTCGGCTTGTTTTCGCAGCCGTCAAGGAGACGATTCTGAACAATGCGCTGAAAGATTCGGGAATTCTATAACGGGGCTGGATCCTATCCATCTCAATATCACATAATTCGCCTATTTGCATAGAAGTTTTGCTTTCTTGCAAGAGCGGTTCACTTGCCTTTGACAGTACCGATGGTGAAACAGTTATAGGAGGTTTCTTGTGCCATCTTCGAAGCGAAACAAGAAGAAGAGACGCATAAAAGTGGGAGTCTGTTGCAGCAACACATACAAGTATCATAGCCTTTCCCGGCTATCGACACGCTCCGAAGGCAACTTTGATTCGACTAAAGAGTCATCGAATTCGGGTGGATGCAACAACTATACATGCCGGTGTCGTACCAAACAAATGGAAGAAGAATCGACAAAGAAAATACTGTGAGGTACCGGATCCACCGGTATTTACCAACGAAACTATTGGGAGGCTGCTACAAGGCGCCTTGTATGATTCAACCTACAGAGGTCCAATGACTACATGAATATATATTTGGGAGGCTTGCTTTTGGGACAGCTAGGTTTGGAAATTTTACAGGGATGAACAGTTCGGAACGAAATGGTTAGGCCTCTCGGAAGGGCGTGTTGAACTTTTACATTGGAGCATTTGAGCTCCTTCACCATGCTAGGAGCTGAGGAGTTTGGCGAGTTTTTTATTTATTTTTTCACTTCGGCGTTTTCTATTCTTCATTTCTGGAGAGGAGAGTTCCCTCCTTTTTTATTATTCTTGTTGCTCGAACTGTTTGCAACCATATATATATAGGTCGATACCAACGTTCAAATACTACGGCTGAGGCCCGAGGTGAAGTGGAGTTCTACACAAAAGACACTCACTTCACGCGGTTGCGGATTTCAAAGACGCGGATCAACCTCGATGCCTGTGAGTCTCAAGTGCAAATGGTCTTGAGTGACAAGCGAGTGACATAAAACATGGCACACCAAAGCTCTATTCAAACAAGTCAGGGACCTCACTTTCTTATTCATAATGCTAAAAGTAGTAATAAGAAAAAATTAGTAGTTATTATTCTACAGTATTTAGTTGCTATTATATTTATTATTGGTTCATTGTTTGTTTTCATATTGTATTAACATTGTGTTGAAATTCAACGCTGGAGGTTCTGGGTGTGCCATGCTTTATGTCAGTCGCCTGAATGACTCGGCACACACTCGAAGCTCGCTCGGAAGCCACGGCTGCCTGCATTGGGATGCAGCAAGTTATGATGGGGCAGTATATCTACTTGGTTGGTTGGTCAATCGTCAGAGTAGGTTGCCTCTGCCCCGCACTGGCCACTTAATCTCATGCATGTATGTCAAACCAGCAAGACAACGTGATGCAGTAGGGCAGGGGAGCAGCGAACGTGACAGAGAAGCGCATGCGTGCCTACCTACAGAGAACCATTGGCTGGGTCCTCCTTTTGGCGCACGAAGCTCTAAATAAGACTAGCATGGAGGTACCGGACCAGGCTAGAGCCGGGAGAGGGGCAACCTACGATGCTTCTTTTAGCTCGGGGGAAATGGACAAGACACGAGATGGTCGAGTTGCAGCAATACTAGGTTTGGCAGCCATCTCGATTGCGGTCAGCTGGCATGGGTACACAGGCAAGACGTTACCTTATGGAAACTCACAAGAGCTGGGTGTTCATGCCCCTTGAAACTGTGGTTTACCTTGGCAGGTCAATACGTTAGCTCTGTTTTGCAACATGTCACTCCAGAATCAGAAGGATAACGCAGTCGGACGAGCAGGTACAACCCTCGCTGGCTCTTGCTGGGCATTTTCTGGGCGCCATTGATGGAGAAGGTTTGTCCTGGATTTCATGGCCAAGGCAGGTAAGTATGAACCTGAAGGATTTGCGTTATCTGCGTTCGGGGACTTTGAATTGGGGAGATAGGGATGTACAGGGTTGGCAGGCCAGGATGATTATGAGCAGAGCTTGAATGCCGGTGAAACTGTCGGTACGTAGCACAGACACGTTGGCCAATGATGTCCTGATTTTGCAGATCGGTTTCTCAATTGCTCCCTGTTTCGCCATGCTTGAATCGGGGAATTCTCTTTTCAGGTATACTCAGGTCTGGAGGCTTAGGTTCAAGCGACGACCTCGGCGGTGTTGGTTCAGGTAGCCACTCCGGATTCATACACGCTCGCCTAAGGGGAGGTTCCTACGGCCATTGACGCATCAATTCAATGGATGGATTGAAAGACGCATGATCGGTCTTTCCCAGCAGTTGCGAGGGAGCCAAATAGCGGGTGGCAAGCACGGCCGGCTGATTGTGGCACCGCACATATCCACGAGTGCTGGGTGCTGGAGCTCACCAATCGCACAATCAGCACTAGATCGATTTGCTCGGCAAGCTTGGGAGGGGTGCCTTGTAGGATACGATGCAGCATCATCCTCGCTACCCATCGCATGCGACTCTAGATTGGCTGCTGGGGTTCCGACTGTTACCCCTACGCATCACCGACCAGGTAAACCGAGCCTGGTCCCACTGCCAGTGTCGTCAGCGAGCAGATGAGCCTGCCCCAGGCGCGGAGCACGAAAACCTTCAGTCTCCAATTGAGGTAGGGGGAGTCCAGCTCATACTGCAAGTTGCCGGGAAGGTGGTCTGATGCTCTATTAACTTCCAAGTTTTAGCTTGGGCACTACTTTGGGTGTGCTGCTTCAGGTCCTCCTGCTGGTGCATGCGAGTATAAGGGAGCCGATGATCCATCTCTTGTTCCCCTCTCCCCTCCTCCTCCTCCTCTCTCTTCCTCTCCGCACGCCAATGCCCATTCTACCCTTTGTTCGTCGTATCTTTACAGCACCTAGCATCTCATTGACTCTGGGAAACGGAGAGCCACCCATCAGCCCATCTGGACGCTGATCTGTCGCTTCTCCGCACCCCGTCCTACTTACTAGGTCTCTATCTAGCTGTAGCTAGAGCCCGGAGGCCCCTGTTCGCATTCCAACCTTGCCCAAGCTGCATCGCATCAGCGTTCAAGCTGCCCCGCCACTGAGCTCCAAAAGCACCCCGCTGCCCCACCTCGACTTACCAGCTCCGGAGAGCTTCAGCAGGTAGCTTATCGAGCTGAGCTCGAGTCACCTGTTCGTGTCCGCAAGAAGAGATCCTTTCTGGCAGCCAATTCCCGGAATATCTCGTCTGTTCTATAAACCCGGGTCTCTGGCTTCATTATTTGATATACCACCAAAGCCACTGCCAGGATGTCGACCGAACAGAAGCTCCCCAGCAGGCAGCGCCGCCCCTCCACATCAGCTCCCATTGTGGATATCCAGGGCTCCGTTGGTCCCGAAGGCATCACTCGCCCAAAGCACAAGAGAACCGTCACTGGTTTTGGTCCAGGAGAGATCAAGAGCGTCGAGGGTATGTTTAAAAATCAATAACTCCAATCCCACCAGATGGTCTCGCTCAAATGCCCCTTGCTTTGCTTCCCTCGCACTTATCTTCTCTGCCCCGCTCTCGGTGTGCTGTGATCAGATCTATTAGCCATGTACTGATAACATTTCCCGGTCAACAGCATCGATCCCGGAGCCACAGCGAGAGGCATGGAAGCGCAACCAGACTGCGGCGTTTAAATCCTTGGACGAGTTTGAAAAAGAAGTGGTTCGCCATGTTGAAACATCGCTTGCCCGCAGCATGTTCAACTGCGACGAGAAGGCTGCGTACTCTGCCACCAGTCTTGCGTTTCGTGACCGTCTCATTCTAGACTGGAACAAAACACAGCAGCGCCAGACTTACCGCGATTCGAAGCGGGTCTACTACCTCAGTCTAGAATTCCTCATGGGAAGAGCATTGGACAATGCTATGCTCAATGTAGGGATGAAAGATACTGCCAAGGGTGCGTCGCCAAAACCCCCCCCCCCTGTTTTATGATTCTCTTTACTAACGCAAGTCATCAGCCGGTCTTGCTGACCTTGGCTTCCGTATTGAGGACATCATCGGCCAGGAGCATGATGCTGCGTTGGGCAACGGTGGTCTTGGTCGATTAGCCGCTTGTTTCCTCGACAGTCTTGCTTCTCTTGATTTCCCAGCCTGGGGATACGGTCTACGTTACCGATACGGTATTTTCAAGCAAGAAATTATTGATGGATATCAAGTCGAAGTTCCAGATTATTGGCTTGACTTCAATCCATGGGAGTTCCCTCGACATGATGTCACCGTGGATGTAAGCGGTTGGAGGTCCACTGTTGAAATCGTTTATGCTGACTTGAATCCAAGGTCCAATTCTTTGGCTCGGTTAAGAAGGTGACCAATGAGGAGGGGAAGTCCGTGGCTGTCTGGGAAGGTGGTGAAATCGTAGTAGCGGTTGCCTACGATGTTCCTATCCCTGGGTATGACACACCAACTACCAACAACCTCCGACTCTGGTCCAGCAAGGCATCGGGAGGCGAGTTTGACTTTCAGAAGTTCAATAGTGGAGATTACGAGAGCTCAGTTGCTGAGCAGCAACGTGCTGAGACGATCAGTAACGTACTATACCCAAATGACAACCTTGAGAGGGGCAAAGAGCTCCGCCTTAAGCAACAGTACTTTTGGGTAGCTGCTTCTCTCTACGATATTGTCCGCCGTTTCAAAAAGTCCAAGAGAGCCTGGAGAGAATTCCCAGAGCAGGTGGCAATCCAACTCAATGATACACATCCGACTTTGGCAATCGTGGAACTACAGCGCATCTTGATCGATGTTGAAGGCCTTGAATGGGACTTGGCTTGGGAAATCGTGACCGGCACGGTAAGCTGAATTGACCTGTTCACCAATTATTGGATACCCTGCTAAATACTCGCAGTTTGGCTACACCAACCATACCGTGCTGCCTGAAGCTTTGGAGAAATGGCCAGTGGGGCTTGTCCAGCATCTCCTCCCTCGACATCTTCAGATTATCTACGACATCAACCTTTTCTTCCTACAGTCCGTTGAGAAACAGTTCCCAGATGATCGAGAGATTCTCACTAGAGTCTCCATCATTGAAGAGTCGCAGCCAAAAATGGTGAGAATGGCCCACCTCGCCATTGTGGGCTCTCACAAGGTGAATGGTGTGGCAGAGCTCCACTCCGATCTCATCAAGACGACTATTTTCAAGGATTTTGTCGAAATATATGGCCCAGACCGGTTTACGAATGTGACCAATGGTATAACACCTCGACGCTGGCTTCATCAGGCGAACCCTCGCCTCTCTGAGCTGATCGCCTCCAAACTGGGAAGCCATGAGTTCCTCAAAGATCTCTCACAATTAAACAAGCTCGAACTTCTAGTTCAAGATAAAGAATTCAAGAAGGAGTGGGCAGAGATCAAGTTTGCCAACAAGGTCCGCCTTGCTAAATACATCAAGGAAACTACGGGGGTTAATGTGAACCCGTCTGCTCTTTTCGACGTCCAGGTCAAGAGAATCCACGAGTACAAGCGGCAGCAGTTGAACATCTTTGGTGTTATCCACCGATATCTGACACTGAAGGCCATGACCCCGGCAGAGAGGAAGAAGCAGATGCCACGGGTCTCCATCTTTGGTGGAAAGGCTGCTCCGGGTTACTGGATGGCCAAGCAAATCATTCATTTGATCAACGCCGTTGGTTCGGTTGTGAACAACGATGAAGATATCGGCGATCTTCTGAAAGTACTTTTCCTTGAAGACTACAACGTCAGTAAAGCAGAAATCATCTGCCCTGCTTCAGATATCAGTGAGCATATCTCGACCGCAGGGACTGAGTATGTGCCGCACCAAACCTCCTCTGAAATCTCAACTTTATTTGTTCTTAAAGATGCTAACCCATGCCATAGGGCCTCCGGAACAAGCAACATGAAGTTCGTCCTAAACGGTGGGCTCATCATTGGTACCTGTGATGGCGCAAATGTAAGCGTGCTGTTATGTACTACCTTGCGAAGCAGCGCTGACATGACATAGATCGAGATTACCAGGGAAGTTGGCGAAAACAACATTTTCCTCTTTGGTAACCTGGCCGAGGACGTTGAAGACTTGCGCCACGCACATACATACGGCTCCCACACCATCGACCCGGATCTCGCAAAGGTCTTCGAGGAGATCCAAAAGGGCACATTCGGCTCTGTGCATGATTTCAGTGCCATGATCGCAGCCGTCAAAGATCATGGTGACTATTACCTCGTGTCAGACGACTTCCACAGCTATATTGAGACGCACAAGCTTGTGGATGAGGCTTATCGGAATCAAGAAGAGTGGGTTGTCAAGTCCATCACGGCCGTTGCCAGGATGGGCTTCTTCAGCAGCGATCGCTGCATTTTCGAGTACGCTGATGGGATCTGGAACGTTGAGCCGTTACCTAGGCGCGACTGATTCTTTCATTTGGGTGTAGGCTTGTTTCTAGTGTGCTACTCTACGTGTCCTGTCATTCATTACTCCTGAATATCATCACCTAAAATAACCATTATCGTCAAAGATTTGTTTGCCCCTTTCGTCATATGAGCAATGCGACGTAGAAAGTGTTAAGCTCGATACGAAGGAGTTTCCGAGCTTTGGCAGCTCAAAAGAGGGCTAGCTAAATCGCCTTTTCCCACCCTTAGTGCGATTCAGCTTCATGGAAAATGCCTTGATGAGCTTCGATCACGACACTTTGCTTTGTGAAAATTCGAGAAACCGGTCAGACGATGCAATTTAAGAATTCCCGATTCTGCACTGGCAGGTCGATGAAAGCCGTTTGCTAGCGCGACAGTCGAATCATGGGGGCTAACAGCCGTTAGTACCTTCGCTATAGAACTACGTAGAGGGGAACATGCAGTGTGATAGTGACGAGTTAGTAGCCCGATTGAGGGGCATTGAAGTGCCCCACCCTAGAGGCTTCCACCGATGTGTCTCAGCCAACAGCATCACCTGGGCTGAGGGACAAACGGTGTGTGTGGTACTTTGGACGCCAGAGACACATTTGGGCACTGTCCACACAAGCGTATGGGTGAGCGGCCGGAGAGTCTGCTCCTTTCTCCTTGGACCTGACAAGTAAGAAGGCAATGCTCGATTGCCTTGGAACTTCCAGCCAGCTACCTTACCTAGCAAGGGTCGGGAGGATCATTAGTCGGACAGGGGAGCCAAGGAATGCGGCAAGAAGAACCCCGCCTTGCAAGCACAAGGACGTCACCAGAAATAAGAAATGCCCGACCGTGTGAGCGAGGCCCGAGAAGAAGTGTTTATTCCCACGGGAGATTGGCTTGCTCGCGTTCATTGTAGTTGGTTACTTGGTCAAATAGTCTTCATCTCCTCTTATTTATTTTTTTAAAACTCTTAAGAGGATGGAAGGGATTCTGGAAGGAATTAGTGGTGGTGGGAGGTGTGTTTAAAATAGACGGCTGATTCGGGAAGACGAGACTCTATCAGCCCCATGTTGTGCAGGAGAGCTGATGAGGTATGATGCCATCAAGCATGGGAATCTGCCAGGTATCGTGCCTGGAGCCACTTCGCACACCCAGTTTTGGCACTTACCCATTCATGAACAAGGGTAATTGTTTATGGATGAACTGATAACGACCACCTCCGTCATAGCATTACTTTCATGGTCATCATAAAGCCCCTCCCCCGCTGCAAATCCGGTGCGAGTTTGGTCGACCTTTCCTCAGATCCTTGCTCATTCCAATGCGCAAGTCAAGAGAAGCTTGTCCTTGTCCGCCTCAAATCATTGCCAACCTCTTGCAAGACCCTTCGTGTCGAGGCCGTTCCCCCCTGCTTTGGTGTGGTATAGCAGACCGGTCAATTGACTTCCAGACATTCTGACAGCGACCCCAAACCTGACGTCGACACGATCGAGAGCGAGTGAGGGGCAATCGTAAGAAGAGGTGCTGGCAGAAATCTCGATCGATCACCAGGGACCCATCAGACCGCCTCACAAGTACTAGTTGAAAGGGGTTGAGTAGAAAACACCCGGGCGCTGCTCTTTTTTTTTTTTTTCTCCCGCCGCCAAAAGACAAATAGACAATCTCATCGCTGGGATTTTCTGGTTTCTGCATTTCGAGCACTCGTTTGCCAAGCTGAATTGAGGTACACGGAGGAAGTATATACGTTCGACGGCGACACGCGGCCGAGCAAGCTTTAGACGAACTACAATACAAACGGCGCGCATACCAGTAGCTGTGCTTCTTTCTGCGACGTGAGTACTGGCCGTTATTTTTTACTTGCCTTCTACTTGTTTCCAAGTTCCCTCCCCCCTCGAGATTGCTACCTACACCCTGGAGGCCCCGGCGGGACTGGACGGGGCACCTTGCGTGTGCCCGTTACATGTGTGGCATATTCGGGGGTGATTGTCAGCTATCGACTTTGATGCGCTGTTAGGCCTATCCAGCACTACCCAAGCACAGATCGCATGTGGCAGCGATGGTCGTACGGCGACGGCCTGCAAGCTGCGGTCTGGGCTTGGGCGGATGCCATGTTGGCTCTGGCGGCAGCTTCTCCATTTCATTCGCGCTCGCGCCGGGCTTTTTGGCTCAAATAGCTTACTCTAGTGTCCAGGCCGGTTTACTCACGATTACACGACATTACGAGGGAGAGAGCTGAGCCGGAGACACCTTGGCGCTATAACGAGCCCCGCCGGTTTAGGTACCTGTGCTTCGGGCCTTCAGTGTCACTCACAGCCTATTATTGATCACTGAATAACGTACTGGTCATTTTACCCCGCTCCTCCTTACTCCTTTGCCCTGCTCGCATTTCGCCTCCCCTCGCTCGCTGGAACGTCAGAGCTGTGGCTGGAGCATCTCTCTCAGCACGAAAACCAGAGAAGCCTCAAGTACCACCAACTACCTAGAAATCCCCAGCAGCGGAGCTTCTTGGCATTTTCGTTCGTCCTTCTCTTGCACACCCCCAGCAAACTCCTAAGACCTCTTTTCCTCGAGATAATTGTCTTACCGTCTCCTGTCCGGAACCATATTTCAATTTTTTTTTTGCGAATCCGCTCAACCTAGTCCGATTGCCGACGAGATTTCGCGTGCGCGTAACGGATTCGCCCTCCCCTCCCTCGCCTGGTTCCCCCGCCATTCCCTTTTGCCCAAGAAGACCTGCATCACCTCCAGCCCATCGCACGACGACGGGCACCCACACGCTTCCTTTTGCTTGAAATCTTTCAGAAAGCGAATAGAGAGCAATCATTCACAATGGCCGAGTTCGTTCGCGCCCAGATCTTTGGCACAACTTTCGAGATCACCTCAAGGTAACCCACCACTCTGCGGGCAAAATCCGTTCTTCCCAAAAGCGCTTCCTCAGGCCCTGATACGCATGATTTCAGGTACTCGGATCTCCAGCCTGTGGGCATGGGAGCATTTGGTCTCGTATGGTACGTTTTCCCCTCCGCCCTTTCCAGACTTTTGTTCAGCCTTGCCCCGCCTCCTGCCCCTCCCTTGAAGCAGAAAGCATGAGTTGCGATACTGACCTTGGATGGTATGGAATAGTTCTGCGCGAGATCAGCTCACCAACCAGAATGTTGCCGTCAAGAAGATCATGAAGCCCTTCAGCACCCCAGTCCTTGCCAAGCGAACGTACCGCGAACTCAAACTGCTGAAGCACCTCCGACATGAGAATGTGAGTGTTGCTATGATCTGCCATATGCCGGCATGCGAGGCCTTATAGCTCACCTTTTCCAAGATCATCTCCCTCAGCGACATCTTTATTTCCCCACTAGAAGATCTGTACGTTCCGCCACGATTCCTGATAAATGTGAAGAGCTTGGACTGAACGCACGCAGTTACTTTGTCACAGAGCTCCTCGGAACTGATCTGCATCGTTTGCTCACCTCAAGGCCGCTGGAGAAGCAATTCATTCAGTACTTCCTCTATCAAATCATGGTATGCTCCTTGCGATCCGCTAGTGCGATGTTCATCTGTACTGATATAGTTGGCAGCGAGGCTTGAAATACGTCCACTCGGCGGGTGTCGTCCATCGGGACTTGAAACCAAGCAACATTCTCGTCAACGAAAACTGCGATTTGAAGATTTGCGACTTTGGCCTGGCCCGTATCCAAGACCCGCAGATGACGGGCTACGTTTCGACGAGATACTACCGAGCCCCCGAGATCATGCTCACATGGCAAAAATACGACATCGAGGTGGACATCTGGAGCGCTGGCTGCATCTTCGCCGAGATGCTGGACGGGAAGCCCCTCTTCCCTGGAAAGGACCATGTGAACCAGTTCTCCATTATCACTGAGCTGCTGGGCACACCTCCCGATGATGTCATCAACACAATCGCCAGCGAGAACGTGCGTACAAATCACCCCTGCCGCGGAGGGAGGTACAATTTACTGATTTTGGAAATGACAGACACTGCGGTTCGTCAAGTCGCTACCCAAGCGAGAGCGCCAGCCCCTGAGGAATAAGTTCAAGAACGCCGACCCTGCCTGTAAGTCTTTGAGAGATTTAAAGATCGACGTGTATATCGTATTTACACTTGGGTTTCGTATCATGGGACTGGCCGCTGACAACCTTTTGATAGCCATTGACCTGCTCGAGAGGATGCTCGTTTTCGACCCCAAGAAGCGGATAACAGCTACAGAGGCTCTTGCCCACGAATACCTTGCGCCATACCACGACCCTACAGACGAGCCTGTGGCGGAAGAGAAGTTTGACTGGAGTTTTAACGATGCTGATTTGCCAGTGGATACTTGGAAGATCATGATGTAAGTTTTTTTCCCTCTTGCCAAACTCGTTGTATCTGCAGCCTTGGGAAACTGACATTTTGGCACAGGTACTCAGAAATCCTAGACTACCATAATGTGGAGGCCAACGTTGCTAATATGGAGGAGGGCTTTGGCGGCCATTAAGCAACGGGGATGGGTCATGTAGTAATTGTTCTCTTCTTTTCTCTTTTCAAAAACAGCACAATGGACATTCCTCCGCTACCCTTGGGATTTGGTTTGAGGCGAAAAGTGAATCTTCATGCGATGAGACTTCCTTCTGCCTGGGACGACGACGATGACGAAGAACACTGAAATGATGATTCCTCCAGCCAAGGTGTGGTGGGCAACGACAGTGGAAAGGTTTGATCGCGCCCCCTTTGGGATCACAACGTCTGGCGTTTGGGAGATGAAATGCGGACTGGGTTTTTTTCCTTTGTTTGTGTGTTCTCTCTTTTTTTCCCGTTTATTTTTTATTGTTCTTATAAAGAGAGATGGTTATGATTGCGCAATGGAAAATATACGTGGGTAGATGCGGCACTAATGATATTGCATTGCGTTCTTCTCCGCCATCTTTTGGTTTCTGACATGTTGTTGGTGGTCTTCAGAGTTGACCACTGATAGCTCTATCCTCGTCGTGTCTTCTGAGGCTAAGATGATTGTTTTGCTTCGAATATCATCTGAGATTATGACAGCTCTGTCAACTCGTTCGGTACAAGGGATTGTTGGTCGAGTGAGCGAATCCGATTGCCTTGCCCAAGAAATCCTGGACATACTAAACGTCATACAAAGTATCGACAACAATACCAATATTTCCAAGTAATGCAGAGAGTTTATTTCAAGTCAAGGCCGCCAACTCAGCAAGCGGCCATACTCGATTGATTCTTGTATTGGCCGTCTTGCCTAGGTTGGCGATGACGACTCAAGCACAGTGAGTGTTGCAAGACTCTTTCACGAATATATGGACTAATGCATCTCTTCGCCCTAGGCCGAACTAGATGATGCGGTCTAGTAAGTTTTCTACCTACCCAAGTGGGTGACAGGAGAAATAAGACACTCGGTGGAAGAGTGGTTCTACTTTCTAAGATAACCAAGGAATTAAGTGATAATATATGCCGTATTATCTCTCAAGTATATATTATTAGTACTCAATAATTTGATGATACCGATCACAGACTGGAGAATAAGCAGCTTATTATCTCAATTTTTAATATTACCTACTTGCTACCTATCTACAGGTATACTTACGATTGCAATCAAAAGTGTTTACAACTTGTCACAGAACACAAGAAGCCCACCCATGTCCAGTGCCCAATGCTCCTTTAAACCTTATACAATGTGTGCTTACTGGGGCCGACACTCGATACGAGCGATTGTTGGTCCGGTGACCGATTACGAATAAGCAGTGAAGTGAAGAGTCACTGGTGACGATTGAGCGGTGGGCACGGCTCGCAACCGCACACCGAAACCGGAGGCCTTGCAGGCGATATCTCATAAATATCCTTGTCGGCATGTCTTCACCGGTGTGGGATGTATTTTTTCATCTGTATGCTCAAACTTAGTTATTCTCTTGATCAATTGACTGCTTGCGGCCTGGCCTGACGCTATCGACATGGATTTGACGTGATGATGGAGAAGGCAGATGCCGGTTGTGACTTTGAGGTAGCATCTCCATCTCTCATGGGAATCTTCCCATGGGAAAATCAACAGCATGGTCTCTGGCCAGCACTCCCGGGTATGTATGAAAAAGACCGGCTCTGCCAATCCCTTGTTGCACTTCCTTGTTCTTCAATGCCGTGCAAGGCAAGGGGGAGGTGCAAGTGGCCTGGGCGGATCCTTCCCCGGGAATAGCGCAGCCAGAGGGCAGGGACGGTGGAGATGGCGCCTTCTCTCCCATGCGTCCGGCCCGCTCGCGGCGCAGTTCTAGTGATGCAGCCTGTCTTTCTGTATGACCGCCATTTGCGAGTCCGAGACTTACCGCTGTCATCTCAGGTAGATTTCTCCCTTTCTCGGAGGGCCGTGCCGGTGATTGTTACTTGTAGAGCGACCCCCTCTTCGTGAATTCGATGATCTTCCTTGCCTCCTCTTCCACCCTCCTTCTACCTGACCCGCCTGCCGCCCTCTCCCGTCCTTTGCTTGCCGTTTCCTCCTATGGCTTGCTACGATGGGGCTCATATCACCAGAGATTTGGCTGGATTCTGCTACCGGCAGCTCTAATCAACAGATAGTTCAAATGCAATCAAGGTTTGTAGTATCCACACCCGTTGAGTGGACGGCGTCCCGAGAACTTGGTTTAGCTGACTCTGTACCACCTAATCTTACACTGCGTATCTAGCCTCGGTCCTGGATTATCAACTATTCCATGGATTCTTCAAGTTTCTCAGATCGCCCTCTCTGGCTTGCCGCAGACTATCGTTCTTGGTGTCTCGGTCACCCTGACCATCTTCAACATACTATGGCGCCACAGGAGAGGGGATCCCTCTATCAGACCCAAGTCTAGGGCATCTAAGATAGGATGGCCCTTTGAATTGGCTTCCCAAGCCGCTCGTGCTGCTTCTGTGGCATTCTGCGCGGTATCACTCGGCCGTGGTTATGTTCGCTGGCCGAGCCTCGCTGCCCTGACATATGGGCTTGTCCTTGGACTGCTCCGCCTCATTGGTGATATTGGCTGGCGGCACCTTGCTCTCCACCAGGTGAATTTCGTATTCACGGCTGTGTTCTTCGTTCACCTGGCAGCTTACTTCCTTCCTTGTGTTGAGATTGGCTCATCCTGCAGCAGCGACTCAAGCATTATAGCTGGCACCATGGTTCTAGGCGTGACTGCATGTATCGCGGTGGTCACTCCAAGAGAATGGGTTCCACCAAGACTGGAGCGTGATGTAGCCACCCAGCCCATAGATGAAGAACCCTCACTCGAGGAAAAATGCAGTTGGTTTAATTATTACTGTACCTATGAGTGGCTTACACCCCTCGTCTGGAAGGGTGTACAGCGAAAGCTGGACATGTCAAGCATTCCAAGATTAGCCTGGTATGATGAACCTCTCTATCTCTTACGAAAGGTCCAGGATGCTCGTTCTATTTCAAAAAAGACTATTTGGACCGCTCTGCGATTCCAGAGGAGCGAGCTATGCCTCATGGCCCTGTGGATCGGGCTCTCCTATGTTTCGGAAAACATTGCCCCGTATGCCATGTTCAAGCTTCTGGCCTTCCTGGCGTCACCAGATGATGCTGAGTACCAGCCATGGGTGTGGTTGTCGTTGCTGTTCATTGGTCCAATGTCTCGTTCCATTCTCTTCCAGCAGTACGTTTTTAATTCGACACGCCTTGTGGTTCGAGTCAAGTCTGCGATGACGCAGGAGCTGTACTATAGATCTTTGGAGTCTATGGAGATGGAGGAAGATCCTTTTGATATCCAGAAGCAGAAACGAAGCGATACTAACAGCAAAGGGCAAGCGGACGAGGAGAAGCAGAAGAATTCAACGACTTCTGCTGGCAGGCTAGCAAATCTCATGGCTGCCGACGTGGATGCGATATTCCGGGCGCGAGATTTCATCATGGTTTCTGTTGGGATACCGGCCGGAACGATAATCTCATCCGTCGGTATGTATCGCATGATGGGATGGCCTTCACTTGTGGGACTCGCCGTTCTGGTATTCGCTATCCCCATCTCCGTTGTGCTGGGGCGCATGACCTACAGCACCCAAGCACGGGTGAGGAAGGCTCAAGATACCAGGATTTCACTCGTGACCGAGTACCTAGCGTCCATTCGTGCCATCAAGTACTTTGCCTGGGAAGATGCAATTACACAAAAAGTCATTGAATCTCGGGCAAAAGAGCAGAAGCAGCTCTGGAACGTCGCCGTCCTGCAGGCCATTATCAACCAGGTAACCCAGATATTCCCTTATCTTTCTCTACTTGTCATGTTTGGTCTGCATGTCGGGCTCGAGAAAAAGCGGCTAGACGCGTCGGTTGCCTTCACGACCGTATTTCTTGTCAAAAACATCCGTAGAAACATCATGCAGGGTAGTTATTTTGCTCGCAATTTTGCTGGTGCCATGGTCGCCTTCGGCCGTCTAGACCGGTATTTTGAAAGCACTGTCCCTCTTGAAAAGTACCCCGTTGGGCCCCTGAGAATAGAAAAGGGGCACTTCCGCAGAAATAGAAAGGCCCTTTTCAGCCTCGAGGATATCTCTCTAGACTTTGTCCAGGGCGGCCTGAATACGATTGTCGGCCCCAGCGGCAGCGGGAAGACGACTTTACTGCTCGCCATCCTGGGAGAAACTTATCTAGAGGGTGGGCGCATCACAAGGCCAGACGATGTAGCCTTCTCATCCCAATCGTCCTGGCTCCGAAACGATACCATCAAGTCTAATGTTCTCTTTGGAAGACCTATGGAGAAGCCTAGATATGATAGAGTTATTGACGCCTGCTGCCTCGAGGATGACTTCATCGAACTCTATGATGGAGATCTGACCACAGTGGGTGAGAATGGCACATCCTTATCCGGGGGCCAAAAGGCTCGGGTTGCATTAGCGAGAGCACTATATTCCAAGGCTCCTTTGCTCCTCCTCGACGATGTGTTTGCTGCTCTCGATGCGAAGACTGCTGCCAGGGTGTGGGAGCGGTGCTTCTGCGGGGATCTCCTACAAGGGAGGACCATTGTGTTGGTAACTCAGATACCATGGATTGCTTCACAGAGTGACTTGGCTATCACTATGGACAAAGGAAAGGTAAAAAGTGCCGAGGTAAACATCGGTGTTGTTCAGAAACCGATTGCCGCTTCAGAGGTACAGGATATTGATGACGAAGCCCCTGAGAATGAGCTGCAGACGCCTCCAGAGTTGGATTTGCAGCCGAGCGATGGCCCAATGAGTGGAGCGGCAGTCAAAGTCTCTGAAGATACCTCTTCGAAGGATATTGTTAATCAGGAAATGAAAGCCTCTGGGGGTATTGGACGCCTTACGTGTAAGTGATGCGGCTACGCTTTCCCTCTACACGAACTTTCGAGGTCTAGTGAGCTGACAATCCATAGTTCTCCAGTACATGAGCTATTTCGGCCATCCCATCCTTGCAGGAATGTGCTTTGCCTTTCTCCTGATCTGCAACATTGTCACCTTCTACAGCACATTCTGGCTTTCCGTCTGGGTGGAGGCTTATAATCACAAGGCTCACGTTGACATCGCTTATTATCTAGGGGTATTTGCTCTGTTGATATTCCTCGAAGTCGGTTCGTATGCCGTGGTCATTATCGTGTTTGAGTGGGGGGCCTGGATGGCTGCTCGCAGACTGCACAATGACTTTATACGAGCAATTATGCGTGTCTCCCTCTCCTGGTTCAGGGCCATACCGATTGGCCGTATCACCAATCGCTTCTCGGGAGACATGGCCTCGATCGATGGGCAGATAAGCAATATTCTTCGGCTGACGCTCGATTCGGTCGTGCAATTGATCTTCCGCATTGCTGCCGTGAGCAGCATCATGCCTATCTTCGTTTTGCCAGCCCTTTTCACTTGCATGTTTGGCGTCGTGGTTGGAGAGATGTACACCCGCACGGCGGTTGTCATCAAACGCCTCACATCTTCTGCTCAGTCTCCCGTCTTCTCCCAGTTCTCTGATACTTTGGCAGGTCTGCCAGTTATCAGAGCGCGGGCGGGAATGTCGCAGGCATTCGTGGTCGAGCTGGCTGCCAAGCTACGGGTGTGGACTGCATCTGCGGAGGCCAACTTCAACTGCAACCGCTGGGTGGCTGTCCGGATTGATTTCGTGACGGCCCTGGTGGCCCTGTGTGCTGGTATCATTGCCGTGTCCAAGGTTGGGACAGTCGGCGCCGGCCTGGTTGGTTTCTCTCTCAGCAATGCTAGCGGACTGAGCCAGACGATCCTTACGATTGTGCGTGCTATGAATGATCTCGAGGTTGAGATGCAAAGTGTAAGTCGGTTTTTCGTCTCCTTTTCTTTTCACCCCCTTTTGGCAGTGGCTCACTGTGGGCACCTATCTTCTACGTTTTTAGTGTCCCATGCTAATACGGTATTCTGAATTAGTTTCACCGTGTGAGTGAGTTTGTCAAGTTGGAGCCAGAGGGAAAGAATGACGAAATATACGCTGAGGAGGGCGCATACGCTGATGAGGAAGAGCACACCATTCCCAAGGCATGGCCAAGTTCAGGCGATATCGAGTTCAGAGATGTGACAATCCGCTACAGCCCCGATGGGCCGGATATTCTTAAGAATGTAAATCTCCGGTTTAAAGCTGGCGAGAGAGTGGCTGTTATTGGCCGCACTGGCTCAGGGAAGAGCACGGTAAGTCAAGGAAACATGAGGAGCACCGGAGGCACTAATTTATATGCTGACATTTCGATTGCTGCGCAGCTCATGTTATCGCTTTTGCGGTTCACGCATATTGTGTCTGGTCAAATACTCTACGACGGAATCGACATCACCAAGGTGCCCCGACGCAGACTACGGGAGGGCCTGACCATCATTCCCCAAGAAGCAGTTCTTTTTAATGGCTCTGTTGAGACTAACCTAGATCCTACTGGGAAGGTGTCGAGAGAGGTTCTTAGCCATGCCTTGGATAATTGCAAAGGCATTGCTTCGTTCTCTGATGACGATAGCGACGATCCTGATTCCGGCCATGAGGACGCAAGTGTCAAACTATCCACCGAGGTTGTCGCTCGCGGCGAGAACTTTTCCCACGGGCAACGACAAGTGCTTTCACTCTGCAGGGCTCTAATCAGGCGAAGCAAACTGATGCTACTCGACGAGGCAACGGCCAGTATGGATTACGAAACGGATCGAGGCATCCAGAGGGTGTTGCGTACCGAATTAGCAGCTGGCGGGGGAGACAGCACCTTGGTCACGATTGCCCATAGGTTACGTACAATAATCGACTACGATACGGTTGTGGTTATGAGTGCGGGCAGGGTTGTTGAGTAAGTAAATCTATGGCTGCTTCAAGAAGTGGTATTGATATTAACTCGCCTTTTTTTTCAGAATCGGCCCGCCGAAGAGCTTATACAAAAACAAGGGCTATTTCTATGACATGGTCTATAACAGCGGCGAGATGGAGGAGCTACACGATGTTCTTGAAGGACACAGTGAACTATAAATCAGATATCTATGTAGATGAGCAGGTCAAGCTGACAAGTTGGGAAAATTTAACGTCCGATGGGAGACATGTCGGTTATGTATGGGACAGGTAGATAGCGGAAAATAAAATTGAATACAGAAGCTTCCATATCAAAAGATGATCCTCAGCCCCGCCGCTTTACTTCATTGTTTTATGCTTGAGAGACTTTTTTTTTCTCCTACACCTTTCATGATTGCAGACTTGGTGTTGATGTCTCCAATCATATGATAATCGGTAAAGAATCCCCAGATAGACAGCTCGCCCGTCAGTTTGTACATCGGCGTCATACAAGTACTGCCACAGAGAATTCCTCAGCCTCATTTCTTTGGTGCTGGCTCTGCGGTGACGCTGGGATCGTGCCCAATGCACACGGCAGTGGCATAGTCCCCATCATGGCTGATGGAGATCATGGCGCTCGAGTCGCAGCCGTCCCCCGGCTCGCCCCTGATCCGAGCCACCGGAGGCCCGCTGCCCAGCCGCTCCTCGTCGCGGCCGCGTCTCTCGATGATTATGTCGTGGAATGTGAGTCTGCGGTGTGAGTGTGCCTTGATGGCGGCCTCCTTGGCAGCAAACCTGGATAGAATTTAGCACAAGCATTGTCGACTTATGCCTGTGGGGGGGCGAAGTGAAATCCGAGGAAGAGACATCAGAGTGAAACGGGAGCCATTGTATTTTCTTACCTCCCAGCTATGAACGCCGCCGTCTTCCAAAGCTCACCATCACGGGAACCTCCCGACCGAGTGAGCGGTAGGAGGCGTGAAGCAGCGGCGGCCCTCTCATGAGGCCCCAGGATGCGGTCAACGAAACGGGCGGCACGGGGCCCCTCGAGGATGCGGTGGATGCGACTGATCTGGCAGATGTCGGTTCCCACGTTGATGGGTAGCGGGAAGGCTCTCAGCGGCCGCATCTGTTATTTACCAACCTCTCTCTAGCCCCCCTCGGCGGAACTGTCCAAAGGTTCAAGCAAATAATATTGCCTGCCTAATCAAGCACAGCGCACTCACAGGTCGTATCGCATCTTCATTGGCCTCGTGGTTACGAACGGTTCAGCTTGTTGTCAATAGAATCCACAAGACCTACAGCAGAAAGAGTGGGTTCTAAGAGCGGAACCCTTGCGCTTTCAGAAGTACCGGTATCTCATATGTCACCTCTTTGCCAGCCCCAGACAGTACAAGTACTATGCTAAAAATGGATGTGGAGTGTGGGGAGCGGGAAAGCCTCATACGTCATAGACAATGGCATGTAAACGCGACTTTCCGATCCTCTTCACGATCCGAGGCATCGGAGGAAATGGTCCATGTCAAGTGAAACATGCTTGGTTTGAAATTACCCTGCTAGTACTATCTGTTCATTAATTATCCAGAGTAGGATATCGATTGAGGAGAAAAACAACATAACAGTAGCCAACCAAATGCATAACAAATCAGAGTTCCGAAGCCGGAGGAATTAATGCGATTCAAAGACCAAGATAAGTAACATCCTGCTTTCTTAGGCCCAGAGTTCCAGATGCTTTTGCCATGGAATCCTCCGAGTAAATATGGAATGAGGTAGTAGAGACAGCGCCACAAAAGGGCCGGTACAATAAGCCAGGCATCGATCTGAGATGGGAGAAATCGAAACTTGGTTAAATTTGGGCCAGGGCCCAATTGGAGAAACCCTCGATGTCCTTGGCGCTTATTTTCTCAAGGTTCGGTGAGCAGGGGAGCGCGTTCTCCGTCGGCTGGGGCAGATCGCTTCCAGAAGACCTCGCGTCCTGTCCAAGCTGGGACGGCCACGGTAACGGTGGCGATGAACAGCAGGGCCATGATGATGAAAGCGAAGATCCATTGCAAGGCAATGACCTGATGGAGAAACTGTGCGACGCCAATGGAAGCGGAGAGCACGCTGAGGGCAAATCCGATGGTATAATCCTACATCACGAGCATGTCAGTTGGTGTATGGTTTTCCCATGTGTCGTTCCACGTACCTTGTAAATGATGATGAAGAAGAGCCCATAAACCAGAATGGCCCAAATGAAGATGTTTCCAAAGATTCGAGGGACCAGATGGTGGGGGTGGCGGATCATTAGAGCACCATTCCAGTAGATGGCCACAAAGGTCCAAGCCAGGGGTCCGGAGACAACGGGGGCATGGATAAAGCGAGGGTAAGTGTTGTGGCGGAAGTAAAGAGAGCTCAAGTTAAAGAAGTTGAGAACGAGGATGAGCTCTGCCCAGATGAAGTGGGAACGGACGAAGAGCATAACGAATGCGAAATGGAAGAGATTGTTGAGGATGAAGTGGCTGCCGACGCTCGCTGCGGCGTGAACATGGTCGGCGTTGGAGGAGAAGAGATGGGTGAGGTACCCAAATTGGAGGATGAAGAGGACGACCCAGTATATGTTTCCAATAACGGAGTTCAAGGTGAAGGCAGTGCGGTAGAGATCGTTTTGGTCCCAGATACGCCTGCGGATTGTGAATCCATCGTGAGGTTCGTTGATAACATAGTAGACAGAGACGACGACGGAAAGGAGCCAGGTCAAGAGGGTGAGGACCTTGTAGGTGGTGACGGCCCCCGAGCCGTAAGACTCTCTCCTGCTGAAGGGATTGGCTACAGAAAGAAGGATTTCGTTTAGCGATGGGTCAGAGAGGCAGCAAGATTAAGGACTTACCCCAGTTAGCCATGACGGCGTTGAATACCTATACCAGACTTTCTCGATGGACAATTGATCAGAAATAGTTGGTCACAAACAGGCACATGCAGTTGTAGAGGAGGGATGGGAGTGGGGGACAGAAAATGTTGGGGGAGGGCAGGACGGGAAGAGGGAGGCAGGTCTAATATATGGATGGGCTAATGGCTTCATGGATGCATCTGCGTACAAGGAAGGCACCACACACTGCACGACCTACTTACGTACCTGCAAGGCGAGAGCTACGCAACCATGAGAGGGGCCTGGCCCGGGTTGGTCTGGGCCAAGACCAAAACCTGAAGGTGGAGGTGTTTGCTAGCCTTGTATGGCACCGGGGATTTTGTGCTTGCATACACCCATATCCATTTACCCATTGCCAGTACGTAAAATAAGTTTGCACCCTGAGAGCAGCCGCGAGGGCTTGATAGGTGACAGTACTACATTCCAGCTGGTGCCGGCATCTAAAGGGGCATAGTGGCGCGATGTTGTGTGCGTCACGAAACAAGCATTGTCCGGGCAGGTGATACACCAGGATATTTAGATGCATCCATATGCGGGCAAGCATCTTCCCCCAGAAGACAATCGACAGGTGACCTCGACAGAAGAGGGGAAGCTGGTTGAGCCTGGTATCGACCCGGGAACTGCTTTCTGCCCACCACCCCTTCCGATGCTCTCGTTCTGGCTTGACGGCTCTTGATGGCGTAGCTGTCACATCTTAGCTGAGAGGTCAATGGTGTGAGTGCGTTGCGCGTATATCCCGGATGTGGTAAAGCAATATGCATCCCATATTGCAACGGATGGCCCTGATCTACTGCACCAAGATTTAGGCAATGCTACCTGTATGCTTTTCCCTGCATGAATGGTCGTCTCAAGTGTCGTATCGGCATTGGTCAAATCGGGGCTTGGATAGGCGTACGCCGATGGCATCTACCTTATTGTATTGCGAAATCATGCGATTGGAAATAAATAAATTCATGGCCTTGTTCGATTCTCAGTAGAACAATTCCACAGCCTACAGCCTACAAGGGATAATGTATGAACACTAGCGATGGTGGTCGCCGTGACGGTGCTTCAGTGGGTGCATGTACCTGTAGGTTCTAGGCTACAGTAGCCGGCGGGAATGCCAATGCATCAATGGCACATCCACTCTCTGACGTTCTTCGCACGAAGGAGACCTGTTGCGGCCTCCATAAGCCAATTGGAAATAATCGACAAGTTCTTTTGCTATGGGTGGGCATTTGGCATGTGTTAGGCACACTACGGAGTTGCTTACACCTGGGCTGTTGATCGAGATCCTGCTGGGACCCGCCTCTGCACCATCACATCACCATTCCTATTGCTCATCGCCAAAGCTGTCAATCCCCGAACCAATCTTTCCTGGATCTAGGACTTGCGAGACATCATTGCCCACCTGTTCCACATTTCCCTGTTTATAGCATCCCAAACATGGTACTAACACATGACCACTTGTTCATAACAATCAACCTACAGGAATTCAAACAGGCACAACTTTGGTACTTATTCAATAGGAAGCTCATCTAATGACATACATCTTGATTCATATTTCCCCAACTCCGAGTTGGGAGGAGGTTGGCAGATCATGACTTTTGATCGCTCCATCTACCAACTCTAGGAGACCATTGAAAGTCTTTGAACTACCCTGCCGGAGGACCTCATCACTTGTAGTCTCTTTCAGGTTCCCACTATAGTAACCTTGGAATTAAATCTATAGATCTTATTATTGGATTGAACACAGCAACGTACAGGGGATAGATGTGCCAGCACTAAGTCAGTGATGATAGAGGAGGACAATGACGGTGCTTCAGTGATTACATTAGTACATGTCCATAGATTCAAGGCCACCTATTGTAGCAGGGTGCTTATCGATTTTTCAACTCAGCCCAAAGCACACATGCGACGAGTTAGTTAATAGCTCATCATTTCTGCCGTACTACACATATCGCCGATAGTTTGGTTCAGAATCTTAGACCATATTCTATAGGCCATCGGTTGATATCACGAAGCAAGCCATGATACACGAGGCAGCGTACTCGGGCATTGAGCCTTTGTCATCGTGACTTATAAAGCCATGCTGGTATCCAGGCTACTACCACTACCTTAGTAGATGCGTGATGCTCTGGCTCCAAATGGGTCTCTTCAGTTCAAACCGGGAACTATAGGTGCGGTGTCACCCACCCAACCTGAATCTGTGTGCTCAAGCTATAGCTCGGCAAAGACGGGCGCTTATTCTACCACGGGTCTAATAAGCCATTACGGATGGTGTAGACAAACCAGGGAGTAAGGATACCAAGCGCACGAGGTCAAACTCGCTCTCTTTAAACCTCGTCACAGTGGATACAATAAAACTTCGTTGAGGCGTCTTATGACCTCCTCATTGGCGAGAAAGGCAGGGTATGCTCAGGATACGCAACGCTTACGCATATGATATCTAGATGGAGCTGGTATCTCGTCGGTAGTACGTCTTCGCTTGTTCGGGCGGTTACGCTCGGCAGTCTCTTTAACTGCAGCAGTTTCGGTTCGTTGTCGCTTTGATGATTGTGTAGTTTGCTGCTTTCTAGGCCTTCGCTGTTCCGTAGCCTTATTTCTTGCAACAGTTTCGGTTTGTTGTCGCTTTGATAATCGTGTGCCCCCCCGTTGCTTTGAGGCTGGTTTGGTTGACTCTGATGATCGCTGGCCATTCGGATGTTTGGCTGGGTTCAATGGCGGTTGAGACGGTAGTCCTGGTGCTTCTTGTGGCGATCGATCTGGGTTTCGAAGGTTGTCATTGCGATCATTTGCAGATCCAGGGTTGACGGATGCTGACACAATATTCGCTGGCTTCTCCTTCACTCCCTCCTTCCGACGTTCAAGGACCCTTTTTAAAGTATCATCTGGAAGAAATCCTGCAAAGAACATTACGAGAGACGCCAGTGAACGTGTGCGGAACAGCTCAACCGAGGGTACCCACATGCCACCAGGTAACGAGCTCGGGTCTCCCGCTAACTGCAGCGCCGCATCATCAAATGCTTTGAGCAGCTCTGTGCTCCGGCTCTGCTTCCGTTCACAGAGTAGGCGGTCGAGCTCGTCGCGCGTCGAGGCTTTCGCAGCGAGCTCCCGCACATCGTAGTAAAAAGCTCTGAAATCCTGGAGGGGGATCTCCACGGTATTGTGCTGGTTGTGTAGCGTGTGAAAGATATCTTCGTACGCAAGGCCAAATTTCCAGGCGGGCCAGAGCCAGGAACGGTCGAGCTCCCAATCGACTGAGGGATTGATGGGATCCATGGTGTCAGGCGTTGTGATAAGCGTTTATCAAGGATGGTTCATGGCTGAGGCTTCATGGCGAAGCGGCGTGCTTAGGACGAAGGTTTGATCAACCAGCGACAAATGTGCCTGGAACCACGATAAAGTAAACCCTGTTTAGATAGCGATAAAAGTGTTAGGAAGCCCATCCCCAAATCAAACTGGGGTAAATCAACAGGTTCTCATTTCTTTTGCGGCTCAGCGCAGTAGCATTAGGTATTATCGTCGCATTGCTTCGCTGGCCCTGGGAAATGTGTCCGTATAGGGTAGCCACTGAATTATGGCCAGAGCTTAGCGCCCCGCCGACTCGCTCCCGGCCCCTGTGGCCACTCCAACCTGCTAAACCTGGCCATCAAATCAACGGCGCGGTGATGTGCAACCAGGGCAGGTAATTAAACTATTTCCACGTAACCGTATCAGATTGCTCGGATCTTATTTTTGCATCTCCGTATTTCGTCCTCTGCGCCTCGCGTCCCTCGTTCGCTCGCCTCTGCTCGGCAGACCTTGACCGACAACGGCCTCTTTTATATTCGCATGTTCCTCTGCTTGCCGTTCACCGCGACTCCGTCTCTACGCTTCCCAGAATGAGTTGACAGAATGATGTTCCCTGGCCTCCTCTCCTCGAGCGACGGGTCTTCGTCGAAACGGTCAAAATCCAACACCAACGCCACTACCAGCAGCAGCAGCAGCAAGGCCAAAGACCATCACCATGCCTCGCTCCCCGGCTTCATCTTTGAAGAGTCGCAGCTGCCCCCTCCCCCGCCCGAGGCCCCTGATCTGCGGGAGCTGAACAACAGCCTCGAGGCCCTCGCCGCCATATTTCCCGACGTTCAGATCGAAGTATTCCGCGAGCTCCTATCGAACTTTGATGACGAGTCACGTTTGGCTGTCGTCGCCGATGCTTTGCTCAAGAACCGTGTCACCTGGGTCAAAGGTCGGTGGAGAGTGGAGAAGAAAGGAGAACAGTCCGAGGCCTCGATCCCGACGGGCGAGCTGTTCCGAAGCAAGGAGTACATCAAGGCCGTGCAGTCCCTTGCCCTCCACGAGTTCAAGGGCCTGTCACGATCTACAATCCACGCCGTGCTCGCCGAGTCCAACTATTCCTACTTGGATGCTCGCCAGACTCTGGTCACGTTGTCATCTAAATCATGGCGATTCACCATATCTGCGCTTTTCCTACGCCGAAAGGCGGTGGCTACAGGCGAGGCTCACGAGCACCCTCTTGTCGTCTGGCGGTCGTCCGGCCACGGCTCCATTTTCCCCGCCATCCGGGCAACGGGGAATGCGCAGCTGGACCGTGAGCTCTTCTCCCAGCTTATTGTGCCCATCAAGGAGCGCGAGAAGCAGGAGCGTGAAGCCAACGACCGCGACCTGGCGGTGAAACTGAACAACGAGGAGGCCGAGGCTGCAGATGCCACACATGAGTGTGCATGCTGTTTCATCCCCGGCGCATTCGAGGAGTTTACGAACTGCAACAGCGAGGGCCACATGATTTGCCATCGGTGTGTGCAGCACTCGATCAAGGAAGCCGTCTTTGGCCAGGGTTGGCTGAGCAGCATCAACCCTGATACTGGCACCCTCAAGTGCATAGCGGCTGATGGGAGTGGTTGCTTGGGTCATATCCCGAGTGACCATATCCGGAGGGCTATGGAGCACGAGAGTAAAGGAGATGAGATCCTACGCAAGCTTGACCAGCGTCTGGCTGAACACAGCCTGCTTGCCTCCGGCTTTCCTCTGATTCGTTGTCCATTCTGCAACTATGCTGAGATTGATGACATTTATATGCCACCTAAGGCCTCTAAATTCCGATTTCGTCTCGACAATGTTATCCCCCTCATGTTCCTCTTGATCTGCATGTTGTCGGCTCCAATCCTATCACCAATTATCCTCATAGCTACAGTGTTCTGCCTTATGTTCAGCTCCCAGCATCTATTTGGAGGCCCCGTCTCCGTCGAATGGAAGAAGGCCGTTAACCGTCACCGCCGTCGAGCCCGCGGTCTCAAGTTCACCTGCCAGAACGCGGAGTGCGCGCGGACATCCTGCCTCTCGTGCAGCAAGGCCTGGGCCGACGTCCACGTCTGCAACGAGTCATCACTCGTTGCACTGCGCACTGAGGTCGAGCAGGCCATGAGCATGGCCGTCAAGCGCGTCTGCCCCCGCTGCAACACGTCCTTCGTCAAGAATGCCGGGTGCAACAAGCTGACCTGCCCCTGCGGGTACAAGATGTGCTACGTCTGCCGCGCTGACCTCGGCGACGAGGGATACCGCCACTTCTGTGACCACTTCCGCCCCGACGGCGATCCGACCCCCTGTAAGGAATGTGATCGTTGCAACCTCTGGGAGTCGGAGGACACGGAGAGGATCCTCCGCGAGGCCCGCGAAGAGGCCGAGCGCAACTGGAAGCAGAAGGAGAACCGTGATCTCTCCGGGGCCGACGTCGCCTTTCTGGAGACCGGTTTCGCCGCAGGCAAGAGGGATACACCGGCGACGAAATCTTCCAGTCGCTGGTCGGTGCCTACTCTCGGTCAAGTGTTTGATTTCGTCTTGAACACTATTTTCATGTAAGAGGAAGCGAAGAATCTGCCATAAAGCAAATAAGAACAAAAACAAAAAAAGACAAAAGAAGGACAACCAACCAACGGATAAGAGGAGTTTCGGGCGTCGATCTCAGACAGAACTCATGGGTTTACAGAAAGAACTCGTTTTCCTTTTCCCGGGATACACTGTGCTTTATTGTTTGATTTATATAAGCGTGTACATACATATAGCGGCGTTAATGGATCGTTAGGACGGACAGACATACGTAGAGCCGGATGGGAGTGCTCTTCAGCGAGCGACACCACTCTGTTCCACTCACTTAGTTGATTTACAATCATCATTATTACTAGTACAGCGACCCCAAATTTGAGGTACAGAATGCTACAAAACCTTATATCGGATGGATTCACGAGGCGGAAGAGGTTACATAACACAATAGCTTGTCTTGGCTTGCATTTTAGTATAACATTCATTAATATACACGGGCTCGTCACCACACCCATCCCGGTTATCCAAAACACATCAATCTATCGTAGATGGGTAAAGAGCAATTTTTCTGTTTTTTAAAAAAAACAGGGATCGCGTCGACTTTAGATCTTACTCTTCTCGCCCTGCACGAGCTCGGCTGCCGCGCCGGCGATGACAACCTTGTCGGTCTCCTTGACCTTGGTCTGGAAGGTGACCTTGTTGCCATCACGCCACATTTCCGTGACGAGCGTCTGGCCAGGGATGACGGGGCCGGCGAAGCGGACCTTGATGTTCTTGAAGGGGCCGTACCTGGAAACTGAGGTCAGAAAGCCTGATACGATTATTAGGGTGAGGGGATAAAGTGGCGTTTCTTACTTTTCATATACGGCCTTTCCGGCGAAACCGAAGGAGCAGAGGCCGTGGAGGATAGGGGCCTTGAAGCCGCCCATCTTGGCAAAGGATGGGTCGATGTGAAGAGGGCTGGAAAGAGTCAGTTGCTGGTTGGCTTCTATTAGAGATTAGATCTTACTTGTAGTCTCCGCTGAGGCGGTAAATGGCTGCCTGGTCCGGTCTCGTGTCGGCCTCGACAACAGCGTCGGGTGCGCGCTTGGGAGGCGGGTTGGCAGCTGTAGCAGCGCCTCTGTCCTTGCCCCGCTTGGGGCCGCCGAAACCACCGCAACCACGGAGGAAGACAGTCATCTCATTGTAGAAGACCTCCTCTCCAGTCTCGGCAATGGTGGTGGTGACGCCATTCTTCAAGATGGCAGCGCTCCCCTTGTCAACGACCTCGAGCAAGCGGGCCTTGGAGACGAGGGTTGAGGCAGTTGGGAGGGGCCACTTGCGAACTTCGAGATACTGCTCGCCGTGCAGGAGCATCATGGGGGAGAAGTTTGGCACGACGGCGTCGTAGTCAAATGGCATCTCGGCGTTGAAGGGGGGGATGACGCCGAAGGTTGGCAGAACCTGGAAGTCTTCGGAGCCTTCAAAGACGTACTTCAGGTCGGTTTGCTTGGCTCCGATTCCGAGGTTGTAGAGGATGGCATCACGTTCGTCGTACTTGAATTCAGTTGGGTTGCCTTCTTCGCTGAGTGCCTTCTTGATGGCATCTAGGTGTTCATTACTGGTAGCGCCCTCCTCCTAAGCAAACCCACTGTTAGCATAGGAAAAGATATTCTACAAACGACAAGTACATGATTGATTTCTAGCGCTAGACAAGGGTATATATACAAGAGAGATCAGGTCTCGATTGGAATATTTCATACCTTGCTCTTGTTGACCTTGTTCTCCAAGTTGGCCATGACCTTGGAGAGAGAGTCCTGCATCTTCTCTGGGTGATCAGCGCTGGGGCTGTCAAAGTTAACAATGTCGGCCCAGTGCTTGACCACCTCCTCAGGCACCAGATCCTTATCGACAGGGAAGCCGTGGCCACCGGCTCGTTGCCAGCGAGTGCGGCCAACCCAACCGCTTCCAACCTCGTAGAGCCCGCCAGTAGGGTCGGGGCACTTGTCACTGCAGAGAGCGAGGACGACAGGAGCAATGTAGTCAGGCTTAAAAGCCTGGATCAGCTCCTCGGGCATGACCGTGGCAGTCATGGCAGTGCCGGCGTTGGGGGCAATGGTGTTGACGAAGATGTTGTACTTGAAGCCCTCGATAGCCAAAGCACGGGAGAAACCGAGGATACCGCATTTCTAGTAACGTTAGTATTGATCGGACATGTTGAACAAATTCAGGGCGCTTTGACCTACCGCGGCGGCATAGTTGGCTTGGCCAAAGTTTCCGTAGATGCCACTCGTCGAGGTGGTGTTGATCACACGGCCATACTTTTGCTTGAGGAAATAAGGCCAGGCAGCCTTGGTGACCTTGTATGTACCACGGAGATGGACATTCATAACAGGGTCCCAGAGATTATCATCCATGTTGGTGAATGCCTTGTCCCGGAGAATACCGGCGTTATTGACGACAATGTCGACGCGGCCAAATGCGTCAATGGCACCCTTAACTACAGCATCGCCATCCTCAGCAGAGGCCTTGACACCAACGGCCTTGCCACCGAGCTTCTTGATCTCCTCGACAACTGTATCGGGGTTTACTAGGTCGTTGACCACGATTGAGGCACCATGCTTGGCAAAGGCCAGGGCGTAAGCCCGGCCGATGCCTGCACCTGCGCCAGTGATCAATGCAACCTTGCCGGTAAAATCAATCTTCTCGCCCTGCTCACTGGGGCCCAGCTTCTGGGATTCTTCCAAGAGGGTTAAGAAGTCATTGGGGCCAGATGGATACTGTGGTTGAGAGAAGTCGACGACCTTGTTCCAGTTCTTGATAATAGCGCTGGGCGTATAAGAGTCGTCGGCCTTGAGGAGAAGACCGCTTGATCGTTCCCATCTAAGCTTGGCCATGTGGCCAGCACCGACCTCAAAGATGCCACCGGTTTCGGTTGTGTTGCTCTTATGGACCAGAGTAGCAACGAGGGGAACAACCCAGTCGGGCCTAAGGTGTGCAAGCATATCGGGTGGCATCACTGTCTCTGTCATGCGGCTAGCAGCTGCAAAGTAGGTGGTTAGTCGGATCAGATCTCATTGAATAGGTGCAAGGCAATCTGCCAACTTACCGATTGGGGCAATCACGTTGGCCAAGATGTTATACTTGATGCCCTCCTTTGCAAGGGTTTCTGTGAAGCCGACCATGGCGAGCTTGGCCGAAGAGTAGTTGGTCTGGCCGAAGTTTCCAAACAGGCCAGCAGCCGAGGCTGTATTGATGACACGTCCGTACTTTTGTTTTCTGAAGTGTGGCCAGGCGGCGCGAGCGCACTTGTAGGCACCCTTGACATGGACCTTGTTGATAAGATCCCAGTCTTGGTCTGTGATGTTCTTGAAGCTGACATCGCGGAGGATGCCAGCGTTGTTGAGGAGGATATCGACGCGGCCAAAAGCCTTGATAGCGGTGTCGATGATGCGGTCGCCGAACTCGACGCTGTCGTAGTTGGCAACGGCCTTGCCGCCAGCGGCTCGGATCTCGTCGACTACGACATCAGCAGCCTGCAGAGCGGCGTATGACGGTCAGCAAACATCTATAGGCATTGCGCGTCCGGCATGATGCGGATAGGAATTGCGACAAGCACGGGAGGGCAGCTCACCTTTGCGGAGTTTCCCTCGCCCTTGAAGGAACCACCGAGGTCATTGACAACGACGCTGGCACCGCGCGAGGCGAAGAAGAGGGCGTAGACCTTTCCGAGACCGCCGCCGGCACCAGTGACGACGACGACCTGGCCGTCGTATCGCAGCTGTTCTGCCATGGCTGTTGAGTGTTGTGTGTGAATATTGTTCTCCGGCAATAGTATAGAAGAGGCTCGTTATCTGCAGTCGGAAGCTGGGATGAGGATTGGGAGAGAGCGGCTGGTTGTTCGGGTGAGGTTGTGGTGGAGGAGCCGACAGCCTTTAACAGGAGAATGGATGCAATGCGTTTGTGGCAGGAGCTCCCTGCTGATGTGACGGAAGGTGCTGCAACGAGCCTCGGCTCCAGGCTAAGAACCGCTGCGGGTACCGAGGGGAATTTCTGGGGGAGGCGCTAGTCCCAACTGGGCTTCGGCCTTTCGTCACATGTAAACTGTAGTTACGTAGGTACGTAGTAGGCAATTCCTTTAACATGAATTGCTCCACTGCTTATGGAATAACTGAATTGAACTCTCTCTTACTCAGTCACGGGAGGGCCGGTCATGTGCGAGGTGCCTTTGCAGCCACCGAAGCCATTCCTTAGCTGGGGGACCGCTATCATGAACACTTTGGCGCGCCTGTCACATGGTTCCGTCTGCTGTTTCGCTTGGTAGGTTTTCCCATATGCTAGGACTGAGGTCATGAGTAGATTGGAGAGGAGCCGTCTTGGGCCGAGAAGAGCGGATAGTAGCGCAGACCGTCCTTCCACATGCGCATGCACCCTTGTACCCCAACTTCTTCAAGTCAAACCGCCGCAGCTTCCTACCGTTTGAATGAACAAATTCCCCAGACCAACAACGAACCATCCCTGGCTGTGTTAGGCCGTGTGGGTGTGCAGCCAAGTGGCAATATGCTTGGGTTTCTACTTGGGTGATGTCCCTATACTCGGCCGTGGACAGTGGCTATTGCCTGCACTAGATCAAAGCTCCAAGCCCTCGGCATTCTCTTTCCCCAATTTGCCCCAAAACCGAGGAGAACAAATCAGTGCTGGTACCCCGCATTAATCGCTAAACGCACTTTCATTCCCCAGCTCCACCACCTCACAGCTACAGATCTCTGCGAATAAGCGACTGGCTACGCTGTTGCCCGCGCGCGAATGCTCACATTAGGTGTGTAATCCAGGGTAAGAGAATGGCTTAGCCGTTGATTGGTTGGATTCCAGAGTCATTCCCTCCCTGTCACCATTTTATTTTTTTTGTCGTTCAGTGTAAATACGTCACAGACTTTACTAGGCAGTATGTTGTCGAGGAGAAGTGAGAAAGTACCTTATCTAAAACGTACAGTAAGATCGAATGTGAACATGCTCGGGCGAGGACCTTAGAGACCCTTAGAATGAGGTGTCTTTCTACCCAGCCAATGCATATGTACCTAGCATTTGGAACAACACAATGTTACCAGCCGCATTCATGGGTATTAACAGCTGCAACCGCAATCCTTGCAATCCCCGCTGCTGCATCTGTCGTTGATGCTGCAATCACCGTCTTTCTTGCATTTCTTCCACCCGTTAGAAGAAGTAACGGTCCAGCACCAATTCCCGTTACCCTTGGGCTCGCCACACTGCCTGAAGCAGTGCCCTCCCTTGCTGCAGCCAACAGCTTTTTCGTAGTAGCAAGCCTGGGCGGATATGGGCTTCAATCCATCGATGATTTCCGATGAAGGGGATTCGCCCGGAGCGGTGGGAATGCCGGCACCCAACCCAGTGCTGATGAGGCCAAAGGCAATGACGGCGTTGATGAGGGGGAGCTGCATTTTTGTTGAAATATTTTGGCCGCTGAAACTGGAAAGCTATGACTTGATGCTTTTTATTGTCTTTTTAGAAATTCTTGGGGTTATAGAGAGTTGAGTGAAGGAAATTGTGCCTGAATTGAGGCGATAAAATGTGGACGCAACAACAACGGTAGTTATACTTGATGCGGGAATCTGAGGAGCCCTTTGTCTAAGACTGAGAGCCATGAAAGGTTACAGATCATTCTCAACGAAGGAATTTTTTCCCTTGGGTTTCGGAACGGTTGTGTTTGAAACATTGTCGGATAGTTGAGATCATTATCGTGCTGTGCCGGCCCTTTCTTGAGCCTCGGATGATCATGCAAACTCACGCGACCACAAGTGCGAACTAATAAGAGGCATAGAGTCTCAATTATCTCGGCATAGAATTTCTGTTCATAATTATTGGTACTCTGGCAGCTAGCTGAACGACTGGAAATCCTCTTGTGACAAACACTTGGTCCGAAGGCTCACTTCCGTCTGATCATTCCTGCTCGACGTAGCATTCCTGCCAGTGTGATAGAAACCTGCACTTCAACGTTGTTGACGACGATTTACGGCATATTTGAACACCTTTTACCATATTTAGAAAGCCACGTTGACTTATAAGGAGCTTATGTTCCGAGTGGCATGTTGGTTTCGTAGACCGCTTAAACGAGAAGACGCCGAAGACCAGATTTTTGTTTCTGCCGCGAGAAACCCAGGCATCAAGCTTTCTTGGCCTATTTATTTTCGCCCAGGCCGGAAAGGAGCCGCATGTATATGATGGATACAGATATACTACCAAGCCTTGCTCCTGTATGCGACGAGGAGTCATTAAACTTTCCTATAGCATTTTAAACGTCAGAAGCAGATCAATGCATTTGATTCTGCAAAACATCTCGTTTCGAAGTCGGCCCTTTCATGGACTGAATGAGAGAAACATGACCTCCATGTCAGCTAATCAAGGTAACCAATGGGCGAAGGTGTCTCACCTCAAAGCCGACCTTTGGGGCAGCTATTTCGGCGTTAAAGCCGTAATTGATAACCGTCAGGATCATGTATCACACCCCTCGACGCTCTAGAAGGTAATTCTGTATGAAAGTCTCCTTCAATCGGCGCTTCACCCAATGTACTTATCCTAAGCTTGTGGGCCACTGCGCGCTTGCAACCGATGTGTCAACAATGGTGTGCTTTGTCCGAGAGTCTTCAACAGCAATAGATCTGCTCTCATTAGCATGATACATGACTATATCAGTCGGGTATATCTTACAGTTCTTCCAACGCATCAATTGTTGTATCAACTGGATCTTGCAACTCAGACAGCCATGGGTGACGCAAAGCCTCGGATGACGAGGGCCGGCTGTTGGGCGAGCGAGCCATGATATTCTCTAGAAAATCCACACACGCTTCACTGGCGCCAAGCTCTGAGGCTATCGCACGAGGAAACGGGTGACCTGCCGCAACATACTTTGCTAAATCACGAGGGTCGCCGAACAGGATCTCGTTGGTGAGTAGCCTGTATATGATTGCCCCGAGTGCCCACAGATCTACGGAGACTGTGTACAAACTAGAGGAGTCGTCCAGAGTTTGGCTCGAGCTGATGTTATTCATGTCGGCTATAGAATAAATGCCAAGGATTTCCGGTGCAAGGTATCCCCTCGTCCCAACAAACGTGCGGTACGCAGTAGCTTCCTCAGCTCTTTTAGAAATCCCGAAATCACTGATCTTGACCCACCAGTTGGGTGAGGGTTCAGACACGAGGATATTCTGAAGAATCTCAGCGTTGGTATAGCGATGACAAAGAGAAGTACAACTTACAGCAGGTTTGAGATCCCGGTGGGCGAACCCGTTCTCGTGCATATATTCTAATCCCTCCAGGAGCTGAAAAGCAATCTGCTTCACTTCCTCCTCTGGGAATGGGCGTACTAAGTAGCTTTGAAGGTCACCCTTCTCAATGTACTCCATTGTAATGAAGATTGTGTTCTCACTCTCGTACCAGCCGAAGGACTGTACAAAGCAATGGACATACTAAGATATGTGAGCACACATCCTGGTTCAAGTCGCGAGTGTGAACTTACCTTTGAGTGAGAAAATTTAGCAATGGCTTCTAGTTCGCGGTTGTAATCAATTTCGCTCCTCTTTCCCTCTCGACTCTTGGTGATCTCCTTGACCGCGCGGAGTCTCCCAGTGTCATCTCCATCAAGGCGCTCCTCGAGCCAAACGCAGCCAAAGGAGCCACTTCCAAGCTTTTTTCGCCGCCTCCAAGTTTCCTCTTTCTTCAAACGGCGCTGGCGCATTCGTGGATTTGATACATACGATATGTGCCGGACAACACTTGCGTTGCTAGCAATAATCGTCTCGAGCTTCGAGTCTCGAACAAGATCGGAAACTACCTTTCCACTCCTTGTTGACTGCTCTATAACCTTGTTGGGTTCAGGCGACTCGTTGAGCAGCGGTTCTTTCTCGATTTCGTTCTGAGCTCTCTCATTCTGCGGTCGAGGATAAGCTTCTGTGGCCCTGCTGCCGAGCTTGGCATCCCGGTTGAGATCGATTTTATCGAGATCGTGCTCGTTAAGAGATCCTTCCTCTTGAATTTGTCGTGCTAACTCCTTGACCTTTGGCCACCGAGCAGTCTTCTTGGGTTCAGGCGACTCGTTGAGCAGCGGGTCTTTCCCGCTTGCCTTCTGAGCTCTCTCACTCTGCCGCCGAAGATAAGCTTCTGTGATCGTGCTGCTGAGCTCGGTATCCTGGTTGAGATCGATGCTATCGAGATCGTGCTCGTTGAGAGGCGCATCCCCATCACTATATCGCGCGGACTTCTTAGTATCGGACTCGACATTGACCGTTTTAAGTGGCCGTCGAGTAAGTCCCCCGTTTCCAGATCGCTGAGTTACCCGATCGCTCGTCCCCGGCGAGGGTGTCCTAAAGAGGGAAGCTGTCTCGGCCATGCGTCGAGGATCAGGCCTCTCAAGAACCTTCTTCATCCAGTCCGTCCTTGAGCCAACTTTCTCGTTAGTGCCTCTCTGTTGGATATTATCAAATATTGAGTCTCTCGCGTTTACGATTCTGGACTTCTGGTAGGAGTCCGTGAGGAGCACGACGAGTTGTGATGCAGCTCTCACTATCAAGTCTGCCGTCCAGTAGAACCCAGAGGGATGAGCATCAAGTACGAACTCTATAAGCTGCAATGTTTTGAAGCTGGCCATCCAATGGGCCGGATCACCAAACTTCTGATTTATCAGATAAGATTTCATAAATTTCATACCGTCTTCTGACCTAAATTTTGAGTCAATTCAGTTCAGAATCGGTAAACGGAAAGTAATAGAGATGTAGGAAAAAGTGTAAGGGCTGAGGTGTTACCCTTGCCTTGAAACAGTTGAAACAGATTCAGTGCGTGAATCTGACCTAAATTTCGAATCAATTCAATTCAGAATCAGCAACCGGGAAGTAATAGAGATGTAAGCAACAGTGTAAGGGCTGAGGTGTTACCTAGTGCGCCTTACAGACACAGTGGGAGAAAGATAACGCCCCACAGTCCTGGCAACTTCTTGGAACTTTTCTAAAGAGTTTTCCGAATTCTCGTCAGGCGTGACACTGTCCAGCATGAATTGAAACTTATCCAGGTCCCTTTTTTCTTGGGCTGCTCGCCGCGTTCGTAACCTTGAGCTACCCGCACCTGCTGGCTCGACAGCTACTGCCGGTGATCTTTTCTTTTGGAGTTTGTTTGGAGCTCGTTGCTCTCCTTCCCGGGAGCTACTCCCCCCAGCTGCCTCAACGGGTACTGCTGGTGGCCTTTTCTTCTGTAACTTATTCGGGGTCCGTTTCTGCTCTTCTGCCTTTTTATCACCCTCCGTGGTAGATCCTTGAAACAATTTTTTGAAGGCTGGGCGCATCGTGGCTCTGGCCGGTTACACGCACCGCCTGGCACAGATCTGTGGATATTGCTCGCGTCCCTGGCGGTAGATCTAGAAAGTAGCGACACAAAAGTCGGTGTCTTCGTGTGATAGTCGAAGCCCATGTCCCACGGAATTGTTGGCACCCGTGCATGCTGATGCCTGCTGCATCTGATTGAGGCTGAGCGAGGGGCATCAAAACACGTTTAAGTGCATATGCACCAAAATAATAGGCGTATAGAAACCGTCGCTTTATTATTGGCTTATACCTACACCCGTAGAATCCCTGCATTTGGAGAAGATAAGTCTAGAAAGCCATGTTGATTCTGAATAATATGACTATAACGCGGACTGGATAGCATAGCAGCATAACGTCTTAAGTGTATCAATTTCAATAGCCTTTTAGATACTTTCCTACTAGAAATACAGCTCCTAGCTCCCGGTATTGCCTTTCTCCAACTTGCCCCAGGCTAAGGACGAGCTGGCTGCTGTCAATACCCCGCATTACCACGTCCGTGATTTCCGCTCCACCCGCGCGGAAGATACACCGAGAGCGGTAGTTTTCGAAGGATATTGCGGACATGGAAAGCTCCCGGTGTTGAATATATCCGCGGCATCCCCAACCGCCTCCGAAATCCGGGGGGAGGAAGCTGCAAAACATCACCACCAAAGCACTCCTCGCCAATCAGGAAACCAAACCGCCCATCATGGCTTCATTCGTAGATGACAAGACCCCCATCTGCGTGCCCTTCATCCTCGAGCAGCTCAAGTCCCACTCCACATCGCGCCCGCTCGTCATTGGCCTCAACGGCGTCCAGGGCGCCGGCAAGACGACCCTGGTCTCGGCGCTCGCAAACGCCCTTGAGCAGGAGGGCGCTCCCACCTTGGTCTGCAGCATCGACGACTTTTACCTGAATCACGATGACCTCGTCGCTCTGGGCAGGCAGAACCCCGACAATGCTCTCGTGCAACACCGAGGGGAGCCGGGTAAGTTTCCCGCCAGACATCAGCCGATCCTGCAAACAGCTGTGAGGTTTTCGGCCCGCTGACTCTCTGCTCAATAAAGGAACTCATGATATGCCCCTCGCCAAGTCCGTCTTCACAGCCTTGATGGAGGGCAAGCCCACCAAGATCCCCGTTTACGACAAGTCGGCATTTGCTGGCCACGGGGACCGGGCCCCTGAATCGCAATGGCGTTCCGTCAACCAGCCCGGCCAGCCGCTGACCAAGGCAATCATCCTCGAGGGCTGGTCTGTAGGTTTCCGCAGCCTGACCCCCGATCAGGTGGAAGCAAAGTGGAAGGCCCCAAGCCGCACCCTGCAGAAGCACAAGCTTGAGCATCTCCTTTTCATCAACGAGAGGCTACGGCAGTACGATGTACTGACGGACCTCTTTGACGCCTTCATCCATATTGACGCCGAGGATCTCGAGTTTGTCTATGGCTGGCGTGCGGAGCAGGAAGAGCACCTGAGGCGTGACAAGGGCGATCCCAATGCTGGCATGTCACCTGAGCAAGTGGTGAAATTTGTGGATGGGTATTTCCCTGCCTATGAGCTTTATACTGGTTCTCTGCGTCAAGGCGTGATTTCTGGGAAACCTGGAAAACAATTAAGGATGTCCGTTGGTAGGGATAGAAAGGTAAAGGAGGTGACAACAATCTAATTGAACCCCCCAAAAAGAACACCAGCTTGTAGACAATTCTTATCTCCTTTAAGACACCGCCCACTTTCCCGACATAACAATAGAATTTAACCTTAGTTGGCCATCATTAATGCGAAGTGCGTCTTGAGGTGTTTAAAACACAATCAACATCTAAACATCTCTCTTTCATATGCTCGCTCATAACGAAAAACAAATCAAAGCGGAAACCTCGAAGCAGCCCAAAACTCCAATCAATGCCATAGGCACGCATGCCTTAAAATATATGGATCCGATGTCGATCTTCGTATCTCCCGAACGCACTTTGTTCAACAGCCATGGCTGATCATAGCGAGCTCGTGGTTTCAAACACCCTTCTAGAAGTCTTGGCCACCAATCACCCGCTGGCCATTGTGCTTCATTTTCTCAAGCTTCAGGTCAATGGCGTCCGACCTACAGCGTACCAGCCTTTCCCGTGCAGCAGCCTCTGCTTCGAAAGCCTCGATCATTTGCCGTTTCTCCCTCCTTGCAATCTTCAGTCTCTTCATGATGTCGGCAAATTGGTCTACAAACCAATCACCCGAATCTTCCCAATCATTCATGGACATGTTCGAAAAGAAGGCCTCCTGGTCTTTTTCGGCCTGGTGTTTAAATTGCTCCAAGTTAGTGGACAAATCATCTCCATTGTTTCTGTGCCCGTTTCTTAGGATGGCCTTGGAAGGGTCAAAATCGAAAGGTTCATTTTGCAAGTCGGCAAATGTCTTCGAGCTCAGAGCCATATCGTCATAATCAGGACTTGCGCGATGCCGTTTCTTGCTCTTTGCGAGGTATCCTTGGGACATAGTAGGTTGGGGGAGGGCGCTCTCCATGAGTTCTTTGATGGGAAACGGCCTGGTCTTCTTAGGGCGGGGGGTTTCCTCAGGCTCGGGCTCGGGCTCGTCTTCCATGGACTGACCAGGGGCAACACCCATTTCGGATTCAGAGATTTCGTCAAGAGCCTTATCATCAAGCCATCGTGGAGGGCTTACCCGCTCAGGACTTACACGCTCGGGACTAGGGCTTCGAGGTTTTTCCTGTATCGGCTGGAAATCCCTGCCACTGTCTCTAAGTCTCCGAATCTTGACTTCTCTAATAGCAAGTTTCGTGTGGCGATCAGCTGAAGGATCCCGACGGCCACGGCCGTTTTGGTAATTCTCAGCGCCGTTTCGTGGCGCGGTCTGGAAACCGTCTCGCATGTACGAAGGATCAGCTCTATCGGCAGTAGATTTGACAGTGATGAAGCCGTTCTCACCCATTTGAAAGATGTCATGATTGCGACCTTGTGGCGCCTGATAAAGCCGGTCGCGGACATCTTTCGGCTTTGGGTATGCATTTCGTCCAGCATCTTTGCCATCATCCTCGGCCAAGTGGCCTTCATCGTATGCTTCCTCGCGTTCATTTCGAGGGGTAGTGAATCCAGAATCAAGGAAGTTGTCTCCAAGCTGGGAGCCTTCGAATATTATTCGCCTAGGACGATTCTCGAACTTTGACCGGGCTGGAGAACCAGGGGAGAGTACCTGCGAAGGCCTGAATTTGGTCTCATCGGATGTTTTCCGCGGAGATCCTGGAGCCCGTTTCTGAGGAGACCTAGACCGCGCGTACTTGCTGGCATTGGGGGGGTGATTATGGTTCGCTGGAGGGCGTGTGGCTTTAGGGATGGGGACACGGGCGCTCTCAATAGCTTCTTCCCTTGTCTGGGGGGCAGACGAAATATGAGCTTCAGGTTTTTGCTTGCCCTCTGGAGCCTCTTGGACAGTGCTAGGAATTTCTTGGGGCGATTCGCCATCGGGGAGACCTCGAGCAAATGCCTGAAGCCTCCCGCTTCTCTTCTTCAACGAGCTTCCAGGAGCCATGATGAGGACAAAATAGCGAGATAAAGCTCAGATATGTATGCTTTCGGATTATTTAGAGCGGTTTTGGGCGAGATCTACCCAAGGCGCCACGTCTTCGAAAAGACACAGGCTCCTAGTAATCAGAAACACAGCATTGATTGGTGAGATGTGCTTCTGAAGGCCGACCATCCCCAGCCAGCACAGCAATTGAAAGTAGACGGGTTAGGAGCTGCTGAGAGTATGCCTAAACACTGTTTCCAAGGCGATTTACGTACCCATCCCCGTTGTAGTGGTGAGAAATGGATTTGCGATTGTTAATTGAGTCGCGTAATTGGAAGGCAGGAACTCCTTGCCGCGAAGTCAGGTGACCTCCTGTTTGTCTCTGATTGAGGCCCAGCTCGCTTACATAACCCAACATGGTCTTCTCATGAGATAAGTGCACGCAATTGATTGATGAGCAGGGAGAACATAAACTGAGTGACAGACTGCTAATTACTGGTGTCTGCATAGCTAGACGCTCTGTGAGAGGCAAGCTAACTCTATCTTTTTATTTATTTTAAAACTCACTTCGCAATAAAAAGGGCCAGCTTCGTTTCTCATCTTCTTGAATTAAAACTCATCATAACGAATTTACGAGGATACATGATCATTGGTTCTTCCCCCCTCGTTTGCGATTCTGGTTTGCTGAAAAAACCACATCGCATATTAATCGTACCTAATCTTGGACTCGTTGATCAAAAACAATATTACCCAGCCAACACCCAGGCGTGACCACAAACGTTCGTCAAATCATTGGATATTCGTACCAGGCTCTCTCTTCCGTGCCGTTCATGCTTCGTATGTTTCTCTCGTTCCTGCATTTAAAACCATTCTCGAACGCATCTTCAATAGGATATCCGATTGGCAAACGAAATGCGCCATTCGGGAGCAACCACGTGGACTCGGACACTTGGTGCAAGGATTTGTAAAGAAGCGAATCAATCCTCATCCGAATCGCTCAACACCGAGGCTGGATGCATTTCTCCACAGTTCGGGCAATAGACGTCCTCGTCTGAGGTCGACTGGTGATCCTTGACCTCTTGGCCACCGTATCGACAAAATTGAACCCAGTCACGAACCTTAGAATCACGTGAAATTGGGACTCGCTTCCAAATAACCGAGTCCTCGTGTCTTGTAGACTTAGGGTGCCCATGCTCAGGCGGAGCAGCAGGCATTATGCCAATCTTGGTATGATTATGATGCATGAAGAAATCATCTTGGCTCTCAAGATCAGACCAAATGTCCTCATCATCTTCGTCGTAGGCCCGGACTACTCGGCTTAGGTTCCATTCTTCACCGGGAAGTGATCTGAGTGATCTGTTGCAAACTGCATGAAATGCTGCATCGCCCTCAAGATAAAGCCCCTCATCTTTGAGTAGACCGCTAAGCTCGGCTGCGGCTTTTAGTCCAGACGCGGCCGCCGGCATACCGGTGATCTGAATCTCGTTCAAGGAACAGCCGAACTCATGAGATGTGGCATCGTGAAATTCGGAGCCAGAGAAGGGGAGGAGACTGTCTGAAAAGTTGACAAGGTCAAGTCGCAGAGAGCTAAGGCTTGGGAGCAACTTGGGTCTTGGTACTTCTTTATGGTGCATCTTAGGATCGTAGGGTGCACGTAGGCCATGTAAGAAATCCACGATTTGCGTCCATGCGTATGATCGCAGGCCACCCCGGACGAGAGGGGTTTCTCTAGGCCGTACATGGACTTTGAGCTTGCTCTGTCTCGACATGGAGTGGTGGTATGTGCTCTCTAGCGAGTGCTTGCGATTTGGGTTATCATCATAGTACTTGGCAATAACGCGAAATGTGACATGAGTGATTGGTGTTCTGTACCGAGAGTCAAGCTCGGCAAATTGGCGCACGGCTTGGGGCGTTGTGAAAACGAAGTCATTGGATGTCCAAAAGATTCGCAGGCCCTCGACCCGCAAAGCTTTGCAGGTGGCCAAGAAGTGAATGGCGACTTGATTGCCGCGCGATTTTTCCTTGTCGGTCAGGTTGGCTGATGTGAGGAATGAAAGAGGATCAATAATCGGATATTGGCTTGTCAAAGCGAATTTCAGTATCTTTAGAATGATCTCCATCGGGAACTGCGGACGCCCGAGATCTTTTGATGTCATAGAGGATCGGGTGTGCCGCTTCGTTGAGCGAGAGCTGTTTAGATGTGCTTGCGCTACAGGCGACCATGCAATTCCATTTTCTCGCAGGAGCTTTTTCAATCTCATATTTTCTTCCGCTAGAAGCCTGTTGGTGCTGCGCAGTGGACTATTGTAGCCTGTTCTGGCCTGGTCATCCTTATCACGACACTCCCATGCTTGCTGATCCTGTGATGACAATGATAAGTGTCAGGCCTGGTAGGCGCCCGAGTTTAGTGGCCAAAATCACTCACGACATCTGAAGCCATGGTGATGTGGCTTATCTACAGCTGAGAATTAATCCTCAACTTGACGCAATATGACGCTGCCAAAATCGCGGACTTCTTCGATGAGAGCAGAACTCTCAAGGAGGGGCAGAAGATGACGAGAGGATGCCTTGAAATCCGGGGCGACCCGAGGTGGTGTCGGTATGCGGTGCTCCTGTACGACACCTCGCGGGGAGACCAAGGCGTAGACAACTTTCAGATAAATCAAAAGCCACCGCCAATAGCCGTTTCGTAGAGGTGATATGTTGCGTGAGAGAAAAGAAAGTCGTAGCAGAAGCTGGCTTGGGCTTATGGAGCCTAAGTACTTATCCGATTAGGTGTGGGTGTCAGTGCATTGGGCAGGTAGGAGGCAAGCGGCGGGTTTGGTAACTGCACTGGTTATTTGAGATGTCTACCGCGGGCGCACCTTCCTTAGAGGTGCATGGGTGGGTGGCAGGCAGGGGCCACATTAGCTAGAAGTTAAGGTAAGCACTCGGGGTTTCTCATTCACTGCAGCGAGAGCACAGCATAACCGACGGGCGGAGCAATCACGTTTCCACTAAACAGCCAAGTAACACCAACGTGTTTGCCTAGTGGGTAGAGCGTGACCTCGTCGTTTGCAGCCTTATTGATGGGATACTTCACAACGGCACTTGGGTGAGCTTCATCTGAGTAGCCAGTTGATGCAGTAATCAAATCGATGGAGCCATCCGCGGCCAAGGGTGCCTTCTGCTGATCTGCCCAAGGATTTAGAGCTTAGCACAGCGAGTCCCTGTGGGGCCCCATGCATGATGCGATCCCGCCCAAGCCAAAGTCAAACGCTAGCGCTTGATCCAAGTCCTGAAATAGCATGATGATAAGATAGGAAGCTGTGCTGAAGCGTGCGATACAAGTATTCGCATTGACATGGGTTTCTAGAGGTAAAACGATATGTTTGGTGATGAATGTCTCATCCGGTTTCCAGGCGATGCTGAGCTGGTGTACAAACACGTCTTATGCACTCGTCCCTAGAGCTGAATTTAAGTTACCTTAGTACCTACCTACCCAAGTAGGTGACAGGAGAAATGAGACACCTAATGCAAAGTCATTAGAAACCAGGTACTTTCCGTGATAAATAGAGAAATTAAGTAGTAGAAAAAGAAGTAAAGTAATAATATATACTATATTATCTCTTAAGTATGTATTATTAGTACTCAATAATTTGATAATACCGCTTACAGGTTTGAAAATAAGCAGCTTAATGTTTGAGTATCTCAATTTCAATGTCACCCACTTGCTATCTAACTTGCTTCAACCTCAGAGTGGGGAGGAACGCTACTGACAGCACTAATTGCTCTGTGATTCTGGCAGAGGATAGCTTCCAGTATAAATAATCGAACCAGAGAGCTGGTCTCAATTTAAAAGGATACTGCTTTGTGTCTTAGATTTCAATTCAAAACGCGTTCTAAAGGGAAGCTTCTTTTGATTGGGTTGACGTCATGACCTTGTCGATAATTGGGTAGGTAGGTATCGGCCGAGAGAGAGCATCGTAGTCTATGATGACATGAACGCCGAATTATGATACTGAATGAGCTCATTGAAGGTATGATCTCAGATCCATTCGCTGTATTTAATGAACGCGCCTGGTTCCTTCAACAAGCTTAATTCATCCAATTCTACATCTTCCGAAGATCTTGCATTATTCATACTTCAAAATGTCTTTCTCCAACACTTCCACCGGCGATAAGCCTGCCGATCCCTACAAACAGGCAAACAAGTCCGACCCCGACTTGAAGACCAAAGTTGAAGAGTTGAAAGAATTCATGGTCAATAGCAAATTTGGCATGTTGACCACCCACGAGGCAACATCTGAAAATCTCGTGTCACGATGCATGGCCCTAGCAGCTACTGTAAGCGCGGCAGACGCTTAATTTTCCCTTAAACCTCGTGTGGGCTAATTGGTGTATTACTTGTAGGAAAACGGCGGGATTGACTTGCTATTTCACACCAATACTGAATCAGGGAAGACAAATGATCTTGCGGTTGATTCACACGTGAACATCTCGTTCCTAAACTCATCTGGGGAATGGGCCTCCATTGCGGGCAACGCGAGTATCATCACAGACCGTGCTTTTGTGAAAGATCACTATAGCCCAATCCTGAAAGCATGGCTTGGGGACCTGGGCGACGGCGTTCATGATGGCTCAGAAAACGACCCTCGCATCGGAGTCATTCGGGTGAAAACTATCACGGCGACATATTCCCTGACTGCCAAGAACATTGTCAACCGTGCGATTGAGGTAGCTACGGGTGCGATCACAGGAAAGCCGGCCCAACCCAACAGCCTTAGGGAGTTGAGCGCTGCGGAGGTTCAACAATGGCGAGCCGTCAATCAGTGAGAGGGAGATGTTAAGCCGGATAGCTCGAGTAGGATGTTTCGTTTTTCTACTGTTGACACAGGACGATAACCCAATATGTTGGCGTGTAACTCATTCGAGCATTTGTATGGTATCTTCAATTTGAACCTTTAATGTTGGCCATAGTTAGCCTTGAACAGTGTGTCCCACTTGTCCTTGTCCACCGCGAACTGTCTCACGTAGTCGTGCTCCAATTCATGGGCCCTCTTGCCTAGAAGAACAAGGCTGTGTAGAGGAGGTCCCAGCTCTTCGTCGGCAGAGCAAAGTTCCTCCAGTGTGCCTGAAACAAACTTCTCTGTCTTGCCACCCACACGAGCAGCACCTATCGCGAGACTGTCGCGAGAGTAGACACCTTCCTTTCGCTCGTCCTCGATCTCAAGCATTTGTTGCGCACATTGCCCCACAGTCATGTATCTGGGTGGTTCGTATATCAACCTTCCCCTTGCCATGTTTTCTAAACTTTGCTCCTTGACTTTGATATCGACAAGTACCAGAGTATGCAGACCGATCGACCGGTTCTCCTTGATTCTGTCGTAGAAGGATGAGGGTTTCCACGAGTCTGTGAAAAACACCATGGACACAGTCTGTCCGAAATTGTAAAGTTGGAGGCCACATGCCCCAATTGCTGACATGATCGAGGCATTCGGGACGGTCTTGACAGGAATATTCAACTCTTTGGCTCGGAGAACAATATCCGTATGGGTTGTTGCGCTATGGGGGGTTATTAGATTCTGAATGCCACAACTATGGTTTTGATATGACTTACCCGAAGGGATCTCCGACGACAAGGAAAGCTACATCTTCGTTCTCGGCGTTGCGAAGGATTTCGTCACTATTAGACTCGACCATCTCACGATCGGCAACTACAATTGACCTTCCATAGTAGCTCTCCTACTAGAAGTCAGCGTTAGCTCCTTGCAAAACTTCGAAAGATTTGCGATTCCTACCAGAACAGCCTGGTCGACCAGGAGGATACTGGTGTAGGCCTCAAGGTAGACTCTGGAAGCCTTCTTGACAACCTCAAGGCCCTTGACGGTGATGTCCGTCTCATCGGAGAGACCGAGCCCGACGAGGTACAGCATTCTTCTTCCTTTTCAGTTCAACCCGGCCAGAATGGATGCGCAACCGTAAAAGGGACCAAAGAAAAAGGTTATCGCAAAGTTGCAAACGATTTGGAAAGTTTTAATGTGCCCCCCACGGCGGGGTACTTCTAGCGCTCCCACCAAGCACATCCCTGTAACTGGCACGGACGCGGAACGTCAGGCTGGCGATTTCCCATCGAACTTTTTCCAGGCGCGCTGCGACAGCTTCCACAAGCAATTGGATCCATCCATCAAACACGCCAGCACACAAACACTTCTACCGCTAAAGAGACACCGGCTCAAGTGACTTTACACAAGCCTTGTTGCAATTTGCAGCAAGTCCGAGCTACGATGGGGGATTCAAAGAATGGTAGCGCGTACGGCCAAGCTGCCAGCGACACCGACTTTCGCAAGAATTACGACCTCGACGAATACGCCGCCAAAGCCAAGGAGCGAGAGGCAAGAGAGAAGGAAGAGTCCAAGGCACGATGGGAGGCGAAAGTCGCTGGGAAGAAGTATCACAAACCATTGACTGGCGACGAAACATTCACGACGGCCCGACGGAATGTGCTCGACCTGAGTGCGCAGGTTGGAAAGACACAGCTGGTTCCTGCGGGCGCAGGTGTAGGGAAGCGAGGGCGAGGTGCCGGATTCTACTGCGAGTCCTGTGATTTGACGTTCAAGGACAACATTTCATACGTGGAGGTAAGGGCTTGAGTAGCCAATGGTGTGCTATAGCAGTCTCGCTAACATTAAACAATAACAGCATCTCAACACGCCTCAACATTTGATCAATACGGGCCAAACTACTGAAGTCAAGCGAGCAACCGTCGAAGAAGTTCGCGAGCGAATAGACTTCTACATCCGTAAAAGGGAAGAGTTAGAAAAGGAAAGGGTGACGACTTTGGACGAACGGCTACAGCTACGGGAGGAGGAGAGGGAGAAGGAGCTTGAGGAGAGAAGAAAGAAGAGGAGGGACGAGGCGGAAAAGAAACGAGTGGCAAAGGAAGAGGCGGAAAAGATCAAAACCGAGTACGGTGATGATGTGAGAATAGAAGGAGAACACGACGAGGATGACATGCTCGCCCAAATGGGCATTTCGGGGTTCGGTTCTTCGAAGAAATGATGAGGGAAGCATATATTGTTTAGTTTTTTATGATACCCACGCCTATTTCCTGGCGACTCAGACCAGAATACATGACCTACCTACCTACCTAATTGGATCTTTTATTACCATCCTGCACTCAATAAATCCACCCGGCCTTAGCCCCAGAACAAGGAACTACGAAGTAGAACAAACACAACTTTCATGCGTAGGTTGATAGCCCAGAGCTTCCGCTGCATGCTTGCTCGGCTCACTCCCCCATGCAACCACACGAATGGCGTCAAACGCGGAATGGTGTCCGCTGCCCCGCTTCTCGGTGCACCCCAGATGGTGAAGTTCCATCCGCACGCACCCCCACCATAAGGTTGACCGAAAGAATAGGTTCTGCCGCGCAGCTCTTGATTCTTGACGGGGCTGGGAACTGGGGAACTCGAACGAACCTTGCCCGTCATCCCATTTTGGAAACCTATTTTTGTTGAACCGGCAGACCTCCGATTCCCTCACCATGAGCGCAACTTCCGCCGCAGGCTCGTTGCTACGACGCCAGCTCAAAGAGATGCAGAAGAGCAAGGACCTGCCTGGCATCTCGTGCGGTCTGGTCAGCGACAGCAACTTCTTCGAGTGGGAGGTTATGCTTATGATCAATGACGATTGCAAATACTACGGAGGTTCGTCTGCGTCTTCCCATCCCCAACATGTCTCTCAAATGTGCCCCGCGCGCGTTCGAACCGTAGCTAACCACCCGAGTGATGCAGGAGGCAACTTCCGGGCCAAGCTGGTCTTCCCAGAAACATACCCGCTCATGCCCCCAACGCTGACCTTCCAAACTCCGATCCCCTTCCACCCGAATATCTACGAGAACGGCAAACTGTGCATATCCATCTTGCACCCGCCCGAGGAGGACCAGTATGGATACGAGCAGGCCTCGGAGCGTTGGAGCCCGGTCCAGACTCCGGAGACGATTTTATTGAGCACAATCAGCCTATTTCACAGTCCCAACGACGAGAGTCCCGCAAACGTCGAGGCGGCCAGACTACTACGTGAGGAGAGAGAGGGCAAACATAAAGATTTCAGGAGGAAATGCCGGAAGTGTGTGAGGGAAAGTCTCGGTGAGGACTAAGTTATCAACCCGGCAGATGAGCTTGGAATACAGATAAGAAATACCTGTTTCCGAAGTGATATTTCTGGCGTTTCTTGGACACAAGGCGTTTGCGAACAATCCTATCTGGAATGAGTGCCCGGGCACCTGATCATTTAAAAGGGCTCGTCATGAGAAAGCTACCGAGTTCAGCGTTCTCACAAGTATATTATGACACCAAATAGTGTAACTGTGTCGTTTCTACTTTATACACAAGGCCTCGGCCTTCTAAAATTACATCATGCTCTTTTATTCTGGTTCTGGTCGTCCCCAACAAACTCAAGAATGCGACCAACCACGCTATTCCATGTCTCTTCCCACCTTATACTTCCCTCACCAATTGCCCCTGCCTTGAGCCTCGCCAATTCTTCTGTACCATGTACCCCTAGAAGACGTTGGAGGACCTCTTTAAGTTCACTGGAAGTCTTAAACCCACACCCGTTCACGCCCTCCTTAATGAGCTCACCAAAACTCTCATATGCGGAGTATGCTGCCACAGGGAGACCAGCCCCAAACATGTCCACCACCTTCATTGGCAGGTCAACGCCAGAACTGGACATATGGAGACAGACTCCGAGGTCAGCGCAGGCGAGGAGCGAAGCGTACTCTCGGGTAGAGAGCCAGGCGGTGATGATGCGGATCCCAGGCAGTCGGCCTTGGTCCGTGAGCTCCTTGATTTTATCCAAGTATGGCTGTTTCTGTGGCCCCTTGCCTGTAATGATGGCTAAGATCGGAGGGGGGCTATCAATGGTTGACGCTTCGCCCCGTAGGGATTCAGCATACTCCATCAGAGCATCAAGCATCAGGCCAAAGTCCTCGTCGGCAGTCCAGGATGTGCTGCTGGCTATGAGTCGAAGCGATCCGTCGACAATGCTCTGCGCCTCCTTCTGGGTCTCGGGCAAGCTACGAAGGAAGTCAAGACGCTTCTTCGCAGATGTAATGGGTTGAAATACTTGAGCTGGCCGATCGTGTAAAGTGAAGATGGGTTTCTTGATTCGGAAACCTGGCCCTTTGAGCTGGCGGTTCATGGCATCTGTGACTGACAGGTTCACATCACCAAGATGGCGACCAAAGCCCTTCTCATACCAGCGATAGAGTGGGACCAGGGGCTTGAGGAGCAGAGTTTGGCGCATGAGGGTATGGCCGTAGTTGTGCCAATCAACAATAACCTTGGTACCTCGGAACCAAGCAACAATCAGCGCCACATGGAAGATCGGAATTGAGGGGGGGTTCTGGGCTCAGTCAGTTCTAGTTTAAAGGGCCGCAGGCAAAGGAAACGTGCTCACCTGTATGATCATCCATTTTGCAGCCGGTGTGGCATACATGAGGGTGTAGAAGAGTGTGCAGAATTGGTGAATCACTTTGTATACCAGCGAAAGCAGAGGCAGGGTACCCCAAATGGTCCATTCGGGATATGGTGCCAACGGATACAGCGAAACATTATTCTTCCCAATAAGAGCAGGGTGCCTTGCCGTCTCTATAATGATTTAGATTAGATCCCAAGATTCGATGGATCCCACGGGCAACTTTGGAACCCTCACCTTTATAGCCAACCAAATCTACGTATCGGCCATGATTCGCGACACTGATGGCATGGTATTGCATTCGCGGGCTACGGCCGATGTCACCAACAACAATGATCTGGATATGGTCATCTTTGGGATTCTCAGACGGACTGTACCGGGTTGGGATGATGTTGAGAACTAGGCGTTTGGCAGTGTCGAAGAAGTAGGCGAGTGAGACGACAAAAAGCCCACCCGCAATGACGGATAAAATGAATGCCGGCCACATGATGGAAAAAGTCAATCAACCCCCTCGCACTCCACCAGATCGTGAGTTATCCGATTTTGAGATAACGTGTTGCTGTCGTGGAGGTTTCGTTGAGCAGGGTTAAAGTGAGAGGAGTTGCCAGCCAGCTCTGAGAACTGCCCAGGTAGGCAATTTTTGGTGGCGTGGCCTTATCTTGGGGAGCTCGACGGCCCGCTCAGACGCTTGGCCATGTACAACTACGTCCAAACAATGTGCACGACGACGTGGTCAATTATCTCATAATTCGCGCTTCTTGATGATACAATAGATTTGAATATCCTCTTCCCAACCACTCCCACAATTTATCTGCGGATTAGCATGGTCAGACAAACCTTACCGCTGCACCTATCAAGGACGGTGCCAATATTGGCGACACCCGACCGATCAGTACCTATGCCCACAGCGCGGTAACAGATAAATGGCGGCTGTTATTGATTACGAGGAGTTCCCGCAAGCCTTCACTTGGCCTTCACAAACAGCAAATGAAACCAGGCTGAGTGTGGTCGTGGATCTGGGTGATGTGGTGGTTAGGTGTGATCCTGCGTACCTTGGGAAGGCGCTATCATAGCAACTAGCCTTCGCAGGACGGGGCCACCAGGGGCTTGGGGGCGTGCCAAGACCGCCCTCTAGCCCCTCTTACCCCTGCAGCTGCAGCAGCTCGGGGGGCGACCAGCAGGCACGATCGGTCCCTCATGCGGTAGAAATTGGAAGGTCCCCCCAGGTTTATTTCACCCATCCTGGGCTTCGTGGTCATTCCTCAAACTCCAACACACAATTGCGGTCTACGTTCACCCAGGGATCATCCTATTATCCTCGGAATCTGGATAGGCATCAACAGCACGGGAATTGTTGCGTCAAGCCGTCTATCTCGCCGCCCGAGTCACACGGATCACCAATCTCCTGTGTCGCCTCCAGCCCGGCCGAAGCTGGTGTCTCACCCCCGAGACAGTGCGCTTCACCTCCAGCGTAGAGCATACGCGTTCGCGTTCGTCACACACTGCCTGAATTCCGGCTAATGAGGATCGGTTTGATCCTTTGGGAGTCTTTGGATCTCCCTTCCTAGGCGTAGCAGCCTCCTGACCCCCTCAAAGTCTGAGCCGTCGGCCCGCGTCGGGCAGCATTCCTGCTCCGAGATAGCAACCATGACATCGTCATATGCCCTCCCGTCGTCAACTCTACCCCACGCACACCAGAATCCACTACATTCGCATTCAAGATCGAAGGCATCGATCGGTTCATGGAAGTCGTCGATGTCCAACGGCGGGCTGAACCCGCAACTAGAATCCCACGAAGAATCCAGTCATGAACATACCCATTCGCACGGGAGAACGGACTCCCAGGTATCCAACTCTGAGGCTACATTTGCAAGCAGGAGATCACGCCCGCAAGCATTAGACAAGATGGCAGGGTGGAAGCGAGAAACAACGGCTGGCGGAAAGAGCATACTCACCCCAGGGCCTGATACTGTTAGCACGCCATATGCGCCGCCGATACAGCACTCTCACGACCATGGGAACCACGATCACCACGACCACCACCATAGCCACGGCCACGATCATCATCATCACCATGACCACGACCACGACCACGATCACGATCACGACCATCACCACGATCATAAACATGACCATGACCACTATCACCCCCACGGCTCAGCCCAAGAGCAGAACACGGAACGCTCTCTCTTTACAAGGATTATTCTCCCATATACAGCCAGGTTTCCATTATTGCATGCAATTGTATCAGAGAAAGATTCCAGGCGGATTTTCTATTTCATGGTGTAGGTTGACGTTTTCCTATCAAGGTCGAGCAAATGGGGTCTAACTTTTCGCAGCCTAAACTTTTCGTTTATGATTGTCCAGGCGTTCTACGGATACCTTACCGATTCTCTTGGTCTTCTCAGCGACAGTATTCATATGTTTTTTGATTGCGTGGCGCTTCTTGTAGGGCTGGTGGCCGCAGTGATGAGCAAGTGGCCCCCAAGCCAGAGATTTCCATATGGCTTTGGCAAAATCGAGACCCTCAGTGGCTTTGCAAATGGTATCTTGTTGATGTGAGTACTGGTCGAAAGACATCTTGGCATTGTGTTGACCCGGCTGACTGATGGCTCTGAAGGCTCCTGAGTCTTGAGATTGCTTTTGAAGCCTTTGAGCGTCTTTGGGAAGGGACAAAAACCAAGCGTCTTGGCGAGTTATTTGTCGTGAGCAGCCTTGGTCTGGCTGTAAATATGGTGGGTATGATGGCTTTTGGCCATCACCACCATCATGGCCACGATCATTCCCATGGACATGGGCATGGGCATGACCATTCCCACGATCACGGACATGACCATGGATGCAACTCCCACGGTGGTCACAATCATGGACATGACCATGACCATGAGAACGAGAACATGCATGGTATTTACCTTCATGTCCTGGCAGATACACTCGGTAGCGTGTCTGTCATTGTATCAACAATTTTGACGAGTTTTTGGGGTTGGGCTGGTTGGGATCCTCTGGCATCATGTTTCATTGCCGCGCTGATCTTTCTTTCTTCGAAGCCGCTGGTCATGTCATGTGCGAAAAGGCTTCTGCTGAGCGTGCCAGAGACGACAGAATACAATCTTCGAAACACATTGGGTGGGATTTTGAATCAACGCGGTGTCGTCAGCTACGCGGCGCCCAAATTTTGGATATGCGATCGAACAGGAACTGATGCCGGATGGAGTTTGGAGGGAGTTGTACATGTTGTTGCTGCTAAGAATGCATCTCTCAACGATGTGAGGGAACGTGTCCTGGATTACTTGCAGAAAGAAGGCGTTGTTGCGATTGTACAGGTGGAAAGAGAAGGAGACAACAGTTGCTGGTGCACGAGAGGGCGAGCATTGAATCTTCCATCAACACCGAAACCATTTTAGAGGAGGGATTTTGTGGCTCAGCAACATGTGTATTCAATAAGCTGCCCCATCTTGGATCAGGTGCCCTTGGATCATTAGGCATATTGGACAAAGTCTTCATCTGTTAGCGAGGGGTAGGATAGATGTGGGGGTTGCATACTTGAGAACTAATATTGCAGAAATAAGGCATTCTCGACTGAAAGAAGAAGGGTAGTGGTTGAAGGTGTTTTAGAGATACTGCCATTGTATGTACATATATACTCAAGCTCACAGTGATAGAATGAAGTGTCCGGTGCGACAAGGAACACTCAAGTTTTCATTCGTAACACCAAGGTGACCCCTTTGTCAAGCAGCTGTAGTGTTTATTTTAGCGGGCCATCCCACTACATGAAGGCACATGTCAATCGTTCTGGCAGGTTGTCATTTCCTCTGTCGTGGTAATTATATGAGGCGTTTACTGAGACTGCTTCACATGTGAAAGCGGGAACATGGTGGGTCAATCATTCCCCAGAGCCAGATGACATGATGTCTTGCGGCGGAAACTGATAGGGTCATTCTTTGGGCTGTCTTGGGTCCCATACGAGTATAAGGGCGATTGTACATTACGGTCCCAACAAAGATTTGGCTCCAAGGCGGCCTTCATGCATGATCGACCGACAGGCGGACGGAAGTACAGATTGGCAGGCCACAGGCAGATCTCGGCTAGAATCAAGGTTCCATCTTGCATGCAGCAAATCTGGTGTGTGTCGGGAGATGGGACGGCTAGTGGCCGGTAGTCCGGTAGTAGATTCTTGAGGGGCAAGCGGCTGTGGTTCAGGACGTGTGGTACAGCCAGAAAAGAACCGAATCTGGGAGGACAATAAATGATCGATGGTGCGATGAGACTTCGGTTTCCTTGGGCGAAAGAATCTTGGCATTCTTCATGAATGGAGACCGAGTGCATTTATGTACAACCTTCTCCAGGGGCTCTAAGTGCCTGACCCTGGGGGAGTTCACTAGAAGCTGCTGTTGGCCCGTGGAACCCCAGACTTGGGCTCCCTAAAACCGCCCGGGAGCCCTTAAGCTCGGGTGTTGGTAGTGGATGGTGGACCCTGGGGTTCGAGACAGAACCCCAGAATAATGCCGCGAGGACCAGCCCGGGCCAGCGCGACGGTACGTCACCGCCCTGAGCCGAAGCCGAGGCACACACCACTTGCGGCCCATGGCCCAAGGCATGGATGATCGACCGTCCACACATTGCACCACACCCTAATAAACCATCTGGCCCTGGGTGCGAGGCTCTAGGTTTGTGACACGAGACTAGCCGTCGCGAAATCCTAAATCACCGGATCATCACCACTGTCTCTGCCGCTGCCCTAGCTTATCTTTCCCATCCTCCTTACCTCCAGATTGCCTCTACTGTCCGACCCCAAGCCCCAGCGGCAGGTTAGTTAGAAGACCGTCATTACAGCTTCAATCGCGCCAAGTTAGAGAAAGCTCAGTTTCCTCACCAAATCAGCCCTCGCGCATCGTTTCTCTTCCAAGGTAAGTTTTGCGATTGCCATTGGCGTTGTATCGCCCTCATACTCACAACAAGGCCTTATCCAGAAGCTAGAGCACCTCCATCGGGAGCACGGAAGACCCCTCCTCTTTCTCGTCCAACGACCTACCACCCCTCACGCCGCATATTACAGTCACAGTTCGTCTTACCCGGAGTTGACCGAGACAGCCGTCCTCGCCCTCGTTTCCTTTTCTTTCCGCCTCCCTCCATTCTTCTCCTCGAACTTCGACATCTACTCCCCTCCTCTTCACACAAACATGTCGACCACTAGCACAACAACGAGCCAGGCGGCCGAGGCGGTCGTTGAAAAGATCCCACACGCACCATCCCAAGAAGATGCAAAGAACGCACTCGCTTCGCAGATCCGATCATTAGGCGCGGGCGCCTTTGGTGGTGTCTGCTCCGTCATTGTCGGCCACCCATTCGATCTCGTCAAGGTCCGCCTTCAGACCGCTGAACGTGGGGTATACTCCTCGGCCATGGATGTTGTCAGGAAGAGCGTCGCAAGAGATGGTCTGCGCCGTGGTCTATACGCCGGTGTCTCAGCACCCCTCGTCGGTGTCACTCCCATGTGTAAGTACACTTCTTACCCACCCCGCGCTGCCTCTCCCACCTCAATGGGTTCATATTCTGGCAATCATATCCCGCTTGGCGCCTGTACTAACTTTGTCGTCTCTCCTTCCAAGTCGCGGTCTCCTTCTGGGGCTACGACCTAGGCAAGCAAATCGTCTCCGGCCTCACAACCGTCGGCCCTGACGGCTTCACCATCGGCCAGATCTCCGCCGCCGGCTTCTTCTCCGCCATCCCCATGACGGCCATCACCGCCCCCTTCGAGCGCGTCAAGGTCATCCTCCAGGTCCAGGACCAGAAGCAGCTCGCGCCCGGCGAGAAGCCCAAGTACTCGGGCGGGCTCGACGTCGTCCGCCAGCTCTACCGCGAGG